AGCACTTAATTATCAAACTCTGGTGGATTGGAACCCTGTACCATACAACCTTGACATTACTAACGTCATGGAAGGTACTAAGATCTTCCGATTAACTGATATGGTTAGGACCATTGCCATATTTCCGTGGCACCAGAAGATATGCTGAAAAAAGCTGTAATCTCTCCGTTCAGGTTACCTGCATCTTTGCGAAAGCCATATATATTACCTAATGCAGCTCGAACCTTCCAATGATTCGCCGACCAGGTCGTTAGCGGTTTGTCAGCAGTAAACATATATATCGATGACATGCTAGTAGTTAGCACATCAGCGGAAAAACATCAACAACAGCTAAGACATTCATTTATGAAACTACAGGAATATGGTGCAGCCATAATAGTTGAACAATGTGAATTTGGAAAGAAATCACTCTTATTCCTAGGTTACATGAATAACTCTCAAGATTTCACGGCAACGTTTCAGCTAATCGTGATTATCACAAAGATACTTACGACGACTCATGAGGCTAACAAACTATTATAGACGATTTATTGCAAACCACACAACAATATTACAACCATTAAAGGACGCTTGGATGGGATGTGGGAGGACATTTCATCCGTCATCATAGTCTATTATGACGTTCGAGAAAGCTAAGCTCAAGTTAAATGAGAGGACAGTGTCAGAAGGATATAACAGCGACGATTCGAACTTAGCTGTTGAAAACGTACTGAAAAAGTTCACAAGTGGTATATGGGAACCACTTTCCTTTCTCCCAGACAGAAACCCGTTCCGTTATACTCCGACATTTGTGTTGACCTCCTCAATTTTTCTGAAGACCACCTAGCTAAAGGCGCTTGGTCACGCATCCACAATTAATCACCATATGCAACACCATACAACCCATGCCAGAGTATCAGCAAGCAAACGCCTCGAAAACCAAACCGCCACCCAAGTATATCGTCAATATTTCAGGTTGCAAACTCAGCATATCCCTTAATTTACCGAATCACATTGGAGCTCATCATAAAATGGACCTTGGATGACTACTTCTTACACCTATTGCATCTTAAAGAGCATTAGCTACCAACCGGGATCTGTTTTCCAGTTGCTCCTGCGTGCTATTTATTCTTCTCGTGGCCGCTTCTACTGCTCAATGTCACATGTCCTATGGTTATCTTCTCTTCCTCTGACCTTGAGTATTCTGATTGAAGGCTTGTCTTGTGACGCATTTGGGTGCTTCCCTCAGTGTGTCATGTCAATTTCCAGCACTTTTTCATCGTTTATTCCTCTTCTGGAATTTGGTTAGTTCTGTACCGCATTAGGTTTTTACTGATGGTTTCTTGCCAACAGAACCAAAGTGGTTTGAGTAGATAACTGCAGATAAACATTTATATCTTGGATATAATGTCTTTTGCGGTTCTTCAAGTCCCCGCTCCATACAATAGAAAGGTTATGATATTGAACTTTTTCGGTTCGATTTGTTCAAGGAAAGACAAGCAGCTTCAAGTATGCTTTCTTGTATCAGCTCTTTTTTACTCATAACTGTTTGTTGAAGACGTTGATTTCTGGATTAAACAACCATTTTTGTTCCCTCCCCCCTGTTCATGTTGTCTAATTACATTTTCACATCTCGTATCATGATGGAAATTCGTTCAAATGCAAGGTCAACACATCAAAGAATATTGAATTAGACCAAACCAAGCATCTTTGTATAGCGCACAATGCGTTTTTATATCGAGCACAAACTCAATGCTCAGTTATATCCGTTCTAATTCATGAAAAATTACAAATCACTCAATACCTCCAGTAAAAATGGTACGGTTCTTGGCAGGAATTCCTTTATGATTGGTCGTTGCCCAGCATAAGACTCATCTTTATCGTCTTTTTTGTCATTGATGGATAAATATCACTGAATTAAATTCATTGTAATCCCTTCTTCCTTTGTTTTGAAGGATGGTCCATAGAATTTCTCAAATTACATCTAATACTTAGTTTATCTCATACTCTGCACTGGCTTCCACACAAGTCGTCACAAGGCAATATTCTTCTCAGGACTAAGCAATCATTCCAGTACCAAACGAATCAGATATGAATAAACATTGACTTTCATCATTTGTACTAACAAGGAGTGAACTTTATAACCCAGTTCTCACTATGCAAAGTAGTAGCTCTCTCACATGAGAATCTTTCAACTCCTAAGACAGTAAAAATGCTTAAAATGAAATTTTCTGGCTTGAGCTTTAACGAAGAGTTGTTCTCTCTGTGATGTGTTCGATAATACCATGTACCACGTTCCTCATTTTTCCTGTCATGGGGAAAGAAGCGAACATAAAAGGGGTCCATTGGTCTTTTACTGTATACCAACCGCAAATTCAAATAAGCCGGAAACGAAAAGCAATGTGTTCAGTAAACATTCCAACATATCAGAGAAGCATAAAAGCTGCACTAGAGAAGCTAGTCAGACCGTCGAATCTAGATGAAGGTTAGTGACTATAATAAAATAGGGAAATACAACTGATCAGAGACTTACGATGAAAATATAGCGATACCTGAAGTAATTTATACCGACTTCTCTGTGATTGGGAAAGGTAATTAGACAAACTCCCAATGTGAAACTACACTAAAGGAGGTTTCTGTTGATTCATTCAGAGTAAAGCCAGATATTTCGTTTAGTTTCGTAGCTAGGGAAGTTATGAGCTCAACTCCTAATGATATAGGAGGATGCTATCAATGTCACCAGTGGTTAGAGACCTTGAACAACATGGCTCAAAATCGTTTGCAATGGCGCGAGTGCATCCATTCATTGTGCACTCTCAAATCCTAAACTTCTGGATTCGTCAGCACCTCTACCTTTGTCTTTCTAACCTTATCTCACTGAATTATACTTATCGAATCATATTTTTGCTCCCTAATCTTCTCCATTATTGCTAATAGTTCTACTATCTCTATCACTCTTGGAATTGAACTGACAGTTGCGACTCTGTGCTGATGTGGTATGGCAACCTGAACTGATGTACTTATGTACGAAGTTCTGCGTTGTATCTGTCTGCCTGTCTGTAGAAAGAGACTGAATTTATCGAATTACCGACATGTTAGTCTTACCAGCATAATAGTGGGGTTATTTAAAAAATCGTCCAGGCTCAGTTGCCCAGTCATGAAGGGCCATACATTCTTCTTACTTGATGAGCGACATGGGTTTCGAAATCGTAATTCATAATTTATTTCGTTGCAACTAAACGAATTATCGAGGCTGCTTCACTCGTCAACATTGTCGTCTACAGATGATGTTGAAATCTGGAAAATAGTGAATAGTCAGGCTGACAATCTTCACCCGCAAACTGATCACATAAATGGTTTAGAAGTCAATTTTACGAAGTATGTGCTAATGTATATCGAAAATCGCAACGATTGCCGGCTATTACCATCGGTCCATCGATTCCACGTGTGCAGTAGTAAAGAAACTCATGACTAACAGTTACAAATCAATTGGAAACAATTGCATATTTCAACTCACTGACTATCAATGGTCTTCGAGAGTTACGGACACTTCGCCGAGCATTCAAGTGCTTCGACGAGAATTTGTTTTATTTTTTATATTGCACGTATTCGAGACCCCAACTAGACTATTGTATCCAAGCAGCTGGTGTATATCTTCATTGACATACCACTGCGATTATGTATCTTAACTAACGATTGAGGTGTTAATACGACTCATCATTTTGCCTGCACTAGAACTTATCATTGCAGAGTTCAAAATTGAAACGTCTCTAAACGGCGATGAAATAAACTGATAATGGGGACTGATTTTTTTTATCGAATGGTCAGTAACAAGAACGCTGTACCTGAACAGGTTAAATCAATCGCTTCATTCAGCACTTTTTAGGAGAACATTTTTCTTCATTGAGAAAAAAGTCTCAAATAATATAACAGGTTAAATGCCTTATTATCTTTGTTGCTGTAAAGAAGTTTAAATTGACGACAACTACTGATGTCCCTCTTAGATCGCTTTTAATACTAATTAATAATTTTTTTGCCTTCAGAAGAGATATAATAAGGATAACATTTCGCCGTATCCACGGTTACATCCTCTTGTACTGGCCATATAACACTCAACTGGTAACTCAGCAGCACAAAATTCGAAAACTGACCTTGCTTTGGGTCATGTTTTTTGTGACTATTTGACTTTTTGAGTTTGGGTGTTTGTCATACTCCCACGTTATGTACGTATTTTATGGATTTTTCAGAACTTAAGATTGTATACTTTCAATTCTACACTACCATATAACATCTATTCATACTTAGAAGCACGAGCGTCATATATTGATTGATAAGTTTATCGACATAGTGTATTGGGAAATATTACTCTACATGTATTTGGGATCAATTGGTTTAAATTTATCTACCTTGTTGACGCATGGACAACTGATAAAATTTTATTCTGTTCCCAGAAACGATTCTTGTCTCTCTATCCCTTAAACACCCTGATATCTGACTGTTTTCAATGTTTTCTTTATAAAACTGCATATCAGTCTACCTAATTATTCCTACTTCTCTGTTAAATGTTTCCTTCTCGAATGGGGTATTCGTTACCAGTCTTCTGTATCACGACTGATGCTGCTACTTGGATTTGAAGTGGCAGTTTCCTCTGCTAATGAATTGTCAAAGCGTGAACCGATACACTTGTACAAGGTAGTCTACATAATTTCACTGAAAATTGCAGAACTTACAATCGGCTAATGTTTCCGCTGTCATTAACTAAGTCTTTTTTAATCCAGGTTGGCAATTAGATGAGAGAACTGTCTGATGTGACGAAGTAACAGTCTACATATAAATAATATACTTCTAAACCTTACTATGGTTATTTATGTACCATTTTATATCTGAACTCGTAATCGACCGTCTTTGCTTCCTTTTTCAGATTTTCTTCTAGATTGAAAAACAAATTTGTTTTTACTGTTTAATACTTATCAGTTACCGAACTGTAATAACACAACACTTGATTTTTTCAGGCTCAGAAAATGATTTCGAATGGATTACCAGTTCTGTTATACGTTGCTTGTACAGCTACATTCATTAGTTTACACGTGGGCGATCAGTAAGACAAATGATTCTTCAATTAACATCCACAGGTTCTTGATATTATTGTGTCTTCATTTTTCGTTATGCAAAGTATTTTCTCGAGTTAGCAGCAATAGTTTGTAAGTACCTTAAAGTCTAAATTCTGTAGGTTGCTTGTGATTACTATGGGTACAGTGCTTACAGCTGAGATAATGGCTCTGAAGACTTTGTTGCCGCTGCTATGGTAGTGTCAGTTTTTACGGAAAGTTTATCATCCAGGAGTGCTCCAGTTAATTTACTGTACATATTACTCATCAATTGCTTTCTCTGTCATTATTTTGTGTGGTCTGTGTTAGAGTTTTCTCTTGCTAATATTGAACATGAGGTTAGTTTCTATTGATTACTCAAAGCTGATTGTAGGTTCTTGAGATTCCAACTTTCAGTAGCTTGCCAACAAGCAGCTGCTTACTGATCATGATCTTGGGCTTTGGTCATTGGAAGGAACATTTGTCTGCACTGACATGCTTTCTTAGGTAATACCTAATGTAATACCTAGCTTTTCAGTGTGCCTACCTTATGGCTGTTCTCCAGATATAAACCGAAAAAACATCTTGAAATCCTCTGGAATTCTTTCATGGAAGCGTGCATTGCTGTCTTGCTATATCTGTTCCCTGCCTTGAATTATATGATCTGTTATTTCTTGAATGAAAGTGACAAGTCATTCCTTAAATTCACGGTAAGTTAAAAGTCGATCCCTAAGAAGTACAATACCGAGTTACTGTGTCGGATATAACAGTACTACTTGATTAAAAACACTCATTTTTCTACTCTTATAATGTTCGTTTTACTGTTAACAAAGCTATGTAGCTGTGGCATATTCAGGCTTTGATCGGTTTGTAACTGTTTCACTGAGGGTTTTCAAGATTGATTCTGATTTGAATTTCTGTAGTTTGAAACTAAGATCCGAAGTTATTTGACTTTTAATGTGCAAACAAATTGCTAAGAAGTTTCTATGTGAAGAAACCTTCATCTCGTATTATCTCGGTTGATACTTAACGGGGTTGCGTATCAGTTTTCGCACCAAAATGAAGTTGGTATCATGTCGTGTTTTCTCTTCCTACTAGTGAATAGTCATTGTGGTTATCGTATAGCTTATGGAGTAGATTCTTACTAAATTAAACTCTTATTTTATTAATTGTCTTGTGAATATGATTGACGTAAACATATAACAGTAATTGGTGTCCTTTGGGATAGTTAGCCGTAAATAGACCCCAGCCTTGTACAATTTTCTTTTGTACTCCACATTATGCTATAAGATGATCACCTCTGCTTTTTGAAAACCATTCCCAACGTCGCTGGTAACATTCGTAACACATTTGCAAACCACTGTCTCAAGAAGATGACATCACTTGAGTCATCTTCATTGAATCCGAGCATACGTTGACGAAACTTCTTACTATTAAAATCTTATTACCCGTGTCATCATTCCTCCTGAGACAACGATGTTTGAACATCAAGAGTCGCGAATCATTTTCAAATCAGGAAACCCATGTTTCATAAGTATGAGGCAGAACTCTGCACCGACGTGTTTTAAATCTGACTTACATCCAGACACATCGCAGTTGCACTGAAGATAGCCTGGACTAACATGAACCACTATACTTACTTACTTTTTACTTACGCCTGTTACCCCCAATGGAGCATAGGCCGCCCACCAGTTTCCTCCATCCAACTCTGTCCTGGGCTTCCCTTTCCAGTTCTGTCCAGTTTTTGTTCATTCTTCTCATACCTTTCTCTGTTTCTCGACGTAATATGTTCTTTGGCCTTCCTCTTTTCCTTTTGCCTTGAGGGTTCCGTGTGAGGACTTGTCTTGTGACGCAGTTGGGTGCTTTTCGTAGCGTGTGTCCTATCCGCTTCCAACGCTTCTTCCTGTTTTCCTCCTCCACTGGAATCTGGTTTGTTCTCTCCCACTGTAGGTTGTTGCTGATAGTGTCTGGCTAACGAATCCGAAGTACTTTGCGTAGACAACTGTTAATAAACACTTGTATCTTATGGATGATGGCTTTCGTAGTTCTCCAAGTTTCCGCTCTATGCAGTATAACTGTCTTGACATTTGTATTGAAAATCTTGATTTTGGTTTGGTTGAAAGTTGTTTGGAGTTCCAGATATTTTTCAACTGTAGAAATGCAGACCTTGCTTTGCCGATTCGCGCCCTCACATATGCTTCGGATCCACCTTGGTTGTCGATGGTGCTGCCTAGATATGTAAAGGTGTTAACGTCCTCCAAGGCATCTCCATCAAGAGTGATTTGGTTGGTGCATGTTGTGTTGCCTCGGAGAATTTTGCTTTTTCCTTTATGTATGTTGATATCGCAGGTCCTGTTAGACTGACCCCTGAGATTTTTAAGGATGGTGGTTCAGTTTTAACAGCTAGATTGACTGAGATCTTGGAATCTGGGAAGTGGGCGTAATACTATTTAACTGGTCTTGATCACTGATTGTCCCAATCTATAAGAAAGGATACAAGTCTTCTTGCGACAATCACAGGGGAATAAGTCTAACCAATATAGTATCGAAAATACTGGCCTCACTAATACTAAGACGCCTAACTAGAGCTCGTGAAGAGCAGACTAGAGAAAACCAGGCTGGTTTTTGACCTGAACGTGGATGTATAGACCACATCTTCACACTACATCAGGTCCTAGAACAAAGACAAACGTTCAGACGCCCCACAATAGTAGTACTTCTAGACCTGAAAGCGGCATTCGACTCTGTCGATCGCGAGGTTTTGTGGCAGTGTCTATCATTAAAAGGTGTACCAAAGAAGTACAGTAACCTTATACAGGCTCTCTATTCGAACACTACCGGTCGAGTGAGAACTTGTGGCGAACTGTCATCGGAATTCTTTACTTCAAGTGGCGTCCGTCAGGGATGTCCACTTTATCCATTCTTGTTCAATTTTGTCATAGACATGCTCCTAGACATAACATTATCCTCGTCTGAAATTTCAGGAGTAGACCTTCTACCAAGTGGCTCGCTTATTGACTTAGAATATATCGATGACATAGTCATACTTGGTGAAGATGCTGACAAAATACAGTCTTCTGACTACCCTTAGCAACAATGCAAGCATGTTGGGGATGCGGTTTTCCCCCTCGAAATGCAAAATGTTGCTTCAAGATTGGTTTGCGTCGGCACCTGAAGTAGTGATAGGGAGTGAAGTAGTCGAACGTGTAGACCTCTTCACTTATCTGGGGAGTTTCATCAGTGCCGATGGCCTGGTGACTGCGAAATCTCAGGTCGGATACAGGAAGTTCGATTGGCTTTTGTCAACTTGCCTTGTCTGTGGCGCCGGTGAGATATTCGTTAAGTAACCGTCTTACTATATGGGTGCGAAACATGGCCGGTACGCGTAGAGGACACTCGTAGGTTATTAGTATTCGAATATATATATCTTCGAAGCATTGCTCGTATATCGTGGGACACCCGAGTGAGCAACGCTGTTATTAGGAATTGGGTGCTAGGTAAGAATGGCAGATCAATAGATGAAGTAGTGAAACTTCATCAGTTGGGACATGTGTTACGAATACCTGACCACCATTACTGCTCGTACTTCTATTATCTCTACCTCTATGGGATTTGAGCTGACACTTGCGTCTCTGTGCTGATGGGTATGTCATCTTGAACTGATGTACTCATGTACCAAGTTCTGTGTTTTGACTGACTGACCTTAGCTGCGGACATTGGTCGATGAAGTGAGATTTATATGACTTGAATGTCATCTCCCAATGAAGACATCTCTCCATTTGGTCGAAATCGGGAAGTTTTCTTTAGGAAACAAATTCACACTACCATTACCCATTTCCAGCAGAGCTGTTTCCAGAATATTTTTGATAACAAAGTTGAAGAGGAATAATAGGGTTGGCCAACCCTACCTAACCCTGCTGCTCAAAAGTAAAAACGAAGAGGGTTAGTTTTATCCCCTTACTATGCTTAAGGTGTTTGTTTATAGTGCCTTTAAGATATTGAAAAACTGCTCAGACACACGCAACTTCAAACGCAATTTCAAAGCACGGTCCTATCCGAGAAATCGAAGACTAACCCAGTATCAATAAGTAATTAAAGTTGATTTACAATAAATAAGGTGGTGTTGGAGAGTAAAGTTGCAATCGAAACATCTACAACCAGCCTGCTCCTCACGAGTTAGTATTTCATGGATTTTCAGTGATATGCAGTGTAAGTTAGAAGTTGCTAGTTTGGATGCGATCGGAAGCAGACCCATCTAACTGTGTTTGCTGCGTAGATGGTGCTAACTTTTATTAAAGATAGAGACGTCTATTGCTTAACTCCATGTTGTCTCCTAAATCTTTCCAAACAGCCTAGTCAATTCTCTGATCGAAAGTTTAATCTTTGAAAAGTGTAGGATATGGGCCTTCTTGGTCTGGTCATTTATGGCACCTAAAAGGCTGGAGTTCCTTATTCATCGTCTCAAGTAGATTGCTCGTTGCTGGTCAATTTGTTTATTTAAACAAAAGCATTAATCTAAATGGGCACCAAAACAGACAAGTTCAACACAAATTATTTCATTTATGTGTATGCAGGTTTACTGCTCTGGTGCCCAAACCGAAGCAGCTGGTTTTCTTCGGGGGTAACCGTCTGCGCCTTTGACCTTCAGGTCTGATCCATAGGGCAGTGGACCATCGTTAAGAGATGCAGTCCCATGACAATTGGTTACCAATTATAGATTCATACACCATTTTCCCTCAAAATCCTGGAAACCGTTTGCGCCACTGTTTTGACATCACGGTTTTTAAACTCCTCTGCTCTACAAAATTCCAGACCTTCTCTTAGCGTCTTCTCGATTTGTAGACAAAATTTCTGCCACAAGAAGGCAATGAGTAGAACTTTCGTGGCGTTGGCTATATACGCTTGGCTTGTCCATCTTTTAAGGCTCAAGATATTATTCATCGACGTTAGATCAACTTCGAGAATTGTTCGATTCATACCATATTTCTTACTGCTAGTGGTTTTAATGAACTGAACAGCTGGCTGTTTCCAAATGCAGCTACTGCTTCCAACTTTTCGCTTATTCACACCACTAGGTTTCTCGATCTTTGCACCGTATTTTTTTGTACAAGACGTACTACTTAATATCAGCAAGTAGTATTTTATGCTTTAACGAATTTAATGATAGTAACGTGATGCTTTTCGTTGATCACACCCATCTTTAACAGACTTATATATCCGACTCAACTTTTGCTTAAAAATCTTTTGTATGGGTTGGTTATTCTCAGTTTCCGTTTGCATAAAATTTTTATGTGCATGAATCAAATCCATTCTCACCGGTTTTTTTTATCTAGGTCGAGATTCTTTTTTTAATTACAACAACACATCTAATATCATCTCAACTTCGTGTTCAAATTCTGCTAACAACTAAAAGTATGTCTTATTTGCGTTTAGTTATGGTATTTTCGGTTTTTTTTTTCATATTTTATAGAGTTTTGTTCTTACTTTCCTATATTGCATTGTATCATTTAGACTTTCTCTGGTTAAAATATACTACAAAAACTACTCATCAGAATACTTTTTACAGTTAGATTATTTTGCTTTTCCGCCGTCTTTTTCCGGTCTCCAGGCAGACGCAGTAGCCTGCTTGTCAAAGTTGTCATTGCTAAGATACTACCAGCTCACTCAAGTGATTCAGTGATCGACGTTTATTGTCTGATTCCTCATAAGTAAGAGGTAAAATTTTTTAAGGTTACTGATTTTGTACTTACCACAATATTTTCATAAACTAACGTCAACTCATAATTATTTTTAGCACAAAGTGTTGAATAATGTTGCCAATATTTAAGATGTTTTTATGCAGGTTCCTGGTCACTTTTATATTACTAATAATTGACTTTTCATTACTATTTAATTTCCTTGTCTAGTAAATATCATCTTCCATCATTCCCGTTTCTTTTTCATTTCTTTTTTTGACAGCTTCTTTAGATAGACAGATTTCCCTTATTGTTCCTCCTTTGATTACTGGAATGGTTTTACTTGGCTTACACACTGAATTTTTTAACACTATGAACAACGCATTTAGTTATTTGTCCATATTTACTGTACAGTCTCTAGTCTTTTTACTCACGGTTTCAGTTATATGGCTTAGATACTATCACCACTCTAAGAAAACACAACTGTTTCTGAAGGTTAGTTGCACTTTTAGTTTATATATTTATACATATATAGGTATATCCACGTCTATATAAACACATGATCATGTTCTGTAACTGAACCGTTATCTAAATTAGCTCAGTCTTCGTCTTATAACTCTGATTTCTTTATTTCGACTTGATTCATACTCTCATCTTGATTTTGCTCGTTATCCCACTGAACATTTTGTCTACGATAAAAACTTTAAAATGTCTAGACAGTCTGTGCTACTGAGGGTCTCTTCTTGCTCAGATTAAACTCTTTAATATTTAGTTTTTTTTGGTTTTCATTATGCTACAAATACGTCCTTTACTATTCATCAGCATCGTTCTATTTCGTTTCTTAGCAATCTGATCGTGCCAGTGTTTTTATATCGTAGTATGCATCAATCTTCTAGATTCTAATTGTTACCGATTGTGATAGCGCGGTGTGTAATTCATCGCAGTATTTTAGTAGCCACTGTGAAGGATAATACGGCAAGAAGGGTTAAACACTGATACATTCTAATAAAATAACGTTTCGTAACAAGCCCTTCAAATAAGAACGGAATTTTTAAAATGTAATATAATTCACTGTGATAGTTTTTCTTATTCCATGTCATTTTTACCAGTTTATAACTTACAGTTATTGCTATTCTTTATTTTTAGTTCATGTCAGCGATTCTATGTATTATGATCATTGTATTGTATTGGAATAAACTTTCGGACGTGCTTAGAATTTCGCGGTAAGTTCTACAGTTTCAAAGTAAGGACTGTTCTTTTGCCTCAATGTGCGTAATATTATAGTAGATTTACTCAATAAACATTATGTGATAGAAATTTTACTCATGATACCCATAAATGATCGTCGAAGCTTCCCTAATTTGTCTCCCTCATATGATAATCGAATGTATGTACATCCTAGTTTCACTCTAAAATGATATAGATTCTCACGAACTTCAATACGCAACTTATTCATCTTTCCATTGTAAGTCAGTTAATATCTATACTTCTGTTTTCTTACTTTGAATGAATGTCGTATCCGGATTTCTCCACGTATGACTCGTAGGTCAGAGAACAGAACTCCATCACGTATGACTCGTAGGTCAGAGAACAGAACTCCATCACAACCACTCACCTGAGCTACACGTTTTCTCCAACATCTCAAAATCAAATGATTGTGACAGCGATTATAAACAAACTTTACACTTTTTTCACATGATCTGAACATTTTTCATACCCAAGAATCCATTGTTCATTGTACCACTTTTTTAAAGCTTCATTTAGTCACTTCAAAATTTGGTTGATTCAAATTAGATCACTTAAGTTTCCAAGTCCCTCCTAGGATTTTTGACTTTGATTCAGGAAGCTCATATTTTTAGTAGTTTATTTTAAAGGTTATGCCAAACAATCCTATCATTGATTTGTAGATTTTAGGAAGTTCGTATTTTGCTGGTTTTTAAGTTAATTAAAATAACTCGTTTTTCTTTCCTGACTCATTTGAACATTTATTGGTTGTTCCATTGCAGACAGCTTCCCTGGAATAAAAAGTCTATAAATCATTTGTTTTGGAGTGGAATTGCTTGTCTTATATTTTCTTTAATTACGTTGTTTACCTATGAGTATGGAAATCAAGAAATATTTGATGTAATCTTTGGGATTTCCCTGTGCAGTAAGTGTACTCATATTTCTTTGTTTCCATTTTCATGATATGTTAATGTTGATCTGAGTGACCGTTAAATTGGGAATCAATCTCATTTTTAGTAAAATATATAGTTTTGATCTTTCCAGTATCAGGATATTCTACCGATGAATAGTATTATTAAAACATACGATCCAGCAAATTTCACATCGTAACAGAAATCAAATAAAAATTAAAATGTTACTATTGTATTTCACCTTTTTAAGTGTACGGTAGCACATTTTATCATAAGTGGTTTTAGGGGGTGTAGGAAGGGTTTGATTTTGACCAATTTGGTCTCGTGTGCTGTTACGGGTATGAGGGAGGTTGTCACTTCCCGGCTGCCCACACCGTGGAAGGTTGTTTCTTGAGGGACCTGAAAAGGAAGATAGATTAGAGTTGATCTTAGAGACCTAGGAGCGTGACCGCAGAGTCGAACAGATAACTTTTTGAGGCCGGTCACGCACGGCCTTTTCATGAAGGGTTTTTTGAGTATTAGCTCCGCTCTTAAAAGCCCTTAATGGGCACCCTTACAGCCGGAGACGGAAATCCGTGAGGTAGGGTGAGGTGTGACATTTTTAGGGTCGGCATTTTCTAACCCTTCCTTCCTTGTGAGAAGGCAGCATCGCTGCATATTCTGGTTGTCTGAGGGAAACACCTTACTGCTGTTACACCTCTCTGCAGTCAGCAGTACGACTTCGCCCTCAGACCTTGAGTAGCTGCTTTTAGTCTCATCGTTCTCCAATCGACCTGCGTGGCATGGTAGAACCTTCAGGAACAGCCAATATAGCTCGGTTGGGTCATCACGATAGGCAAGCCCGACCACCACGTCAAGGTAGCAGCTTCGGTCGGGAAGTGGTTTTAGAGTCTCATTGAATTACTTATTGTACATAAGTTAAGTAAATAGTGTGCAGTGATTCTATTCCGTAGTAGCTTTCAAAGTTTACGGTGGAAAACGTTTGAAGTTCTTTTGGGTTATTTGATCCGATCGTAAGGAACAAGGACAATGAATAATACGATTTGGCTGATTGATAACTGGTTCCAGATAAAATTACTGACTCAAAACCGCTTTTCACTGGATAAACTACTTTCAGGCGACAAGACAGCTACCCAGCAGAAGCGCTTTCTTCTTATGTTCTAGAATATCATGTTGATGTATCAAATGTTGACACAAAAAACATGCTTATTCGTTACCAACTATTGGACGATGTTAGTTTTGAAGGTTTTTCACTTTGATCAACTAAGGCCTTACTCATTATATCAGATTTACCAGAATTGACTTTCGATGACGTAAAGCTAAAGTTATTTCTTACTACTGTAAGAGAGTGGTTTTTCACTTGTCCGCATGTCATTTTAAAATATGGAGATGATTGACTGATTTCTGCTTAAATTACTTCGTTGAAGAGATATATTTAGAATTTTTAATACACTGGTATCTTTTTGGAGTATATTTCTTGTTATATGAATGACTTCAGTCAAGAAATTCACGGTTGCCAATCTAATTACTATCAACAGTCTTAGACTATTTTCATAACTTTGACAGGTCCACCGTAACTCTTCAGGTATATGGAGGTCAATCATCGTGACGGTTACTTTCGTAAAATCCTAAAAGCTTTATTATACCGACTTCACAGAACTTGAGGGAAAATTTCATTGTTGACATTTAATTTAACCTTGTTGTTCATGGTTAGAAATTTCATTGTTGTTTTAGGATTTATTGATAGAATTATTGTAATAATTTTATCAAACTGCCCACTACACTAAATGTCAGGGCAATAAAAGTGATGTGCATTATATTAGCTTAAAACTTGTATTGATTTTTATGAGTTTTGTGTTTCAACAAATTAGCACAAATGATTGTTTAAGTATACATCTTTCCAGTTGTTTTACAGCTATGTACTCATTTTCATTAATTCATTTTCCTCTTTTAGTTCTACATTATTCCGAATGGTGTTTATATATGACCGTTAATATTTCTGAATCGTGGCTGTACAATTCTTGCATAATGACTGTTGTATCAGTATTACTGTAAGAATACTTAAAACGATATATATATATATATATATATATATATATATATATATATTCAATTCAAATTTTTGGCGTTTTCATTTCGCCAGTTATTTTCCATGTTTGAATTGTATCAATTATTTTAGTTCTTCGTGTTTGTTTTCATCTAGTGTGAAACAATATCAGATTGTTAAATGTATCTGAATTTCAACTTATAAGACTTTAATTTTTATACATTTGAAATCATCAATCAATCATTGCTAGCCCACCATTATAAACCTGGAAGCACTGGACGGCCGTTTCGTCCTGGTATGGGACTCATCTTACACAGGCTCTCTACTCGAGCACTCGTGGTCGAGTGAGAGCTTGTGGCCAACTGTCATCGGAGTTACTTTAAGTGGTGTTCGTTAGGGTTGTGCACTTTCTCCATTCCTATTCAAATTTTTAATTGGTTTGCTTTTAGATACGACACTTTCATCATCTGACTTTTCTGGTGTTAACCTTCTGTTAGGAGATTCGCCCGTTGACTTAGAATATGCCGATGACAGTTCTATTTGTTTAAAACGCTGACAAAATGCAGAATCTTCTGACCTCCTTAAGCAACAATGAAAGCATGTTCGGGATGCAATTCTCCCTCTCCAAGTGCAAAATGTTGCTTCAGGATTGGCTTGCGTTGACACCTGAACAAGTGAAACGAAGTGGTGAAGTTGTTTGGCGTATTGACTGCTTCACTTATCTTAGAAGTCTCATCAGTTACGGTCCAATCAATCAACACCAACATAGAACATAGTACGTACGTACGTACGTACATCAGTTCAAGTTGCCATAGCACATTAGCACAGAGATGTGACTGTCAATTCAAATCCCATAGTAGTAGAGATAGTAAAGGTATTAGCAGTAATCTGAGAGATTAGGATTCAATGGTATTATTTAAGAAGTAGAATCTAGTCAAATAAACTTGAAAAGAAAGAGATAATGCGATGACTGATTAAAAAGTTTAGGATTTGAGAAAACACAAAGAACGAATGCGCCTGCGCCATCAGCTAGGGTTACTGAAGCCTCAATTGGCTTTTACCGATTTGCATCACTCATGTCTTACGCGAGATATCTTACTCCTATCCAAAGGATGAGTATACTACGCAGCATTTCGCTCCGTTCGACTATACGGGTGTGAAACATGGCCATCAAGAAGCGAGAATATTCGTAGGTTACTGGTTTTCGATCATCTGCGTCTCTGAAGCATTGCTCGCATATCCTGGGATAATCGAGCTAGTAGTACAGTTGTTAAGGAAAGGGTATTAGGTAAGGATGGCAAGTCAATATATGAAGTATTGAAACCTGATCAGTGATTGCGACATATGTTTAAAATAGCCCAGCACCGATTGCCTCGTCGAGCTATGTTTTGTGGCGTAGGAGTAAGTTTGAATAAAGCTAGGGAGGCCAAACCAATGGCGCAAATCCATGAAGTCTCTGACAGCTGGACTGAGTCATAATGGTAAGTGTAGACTACCTGGTTGGAGTCCGCGAGATAATAGTAACCGATTCGTGGTGACCTTGAATTACATGGCTCAGAACCGTTCGCAACGGCTCAGGTGTATCGTTTCTTTGTGTTCTCTCAAATTCTGATCCTCTTGGTTATTCATCACCTTTATCTTTCTCTTTTGAAGTTTATTTCACTGAATTATACTTCTTGAATCACATCTTTGAACCATAGTCTTTCCCTACTACTGCTAATACTTCTACCTCTACTTAAATGGAATTCGAATTGAAAATTACGTCTCTGTGCAAATGTGGCTTGGCAACTGGAACTGATGTACGTACGTACGAAGTTCTATGTTGTACCTGACTCGGTGAATGACCGATGATACATTAGGTAATACTTAAAAATGTGTATAGACTATGCGAATGATGTTCGAAGTTAGGGGGTTAGAATTAAAGTCCAATAGAAACTGTTTCATGAAGACAAGGTCACTTAAGCAAAAGAAGATTGACATCTATTTTGTTAGATGCATAGAATCAGCTTGATTCACTTTATTTCCCCGGCTTCAGTGAAAGTGCCACATACCGAAGTTCGTGGATCATCTTGAATTACTTTTAAACAATATCTTCACATCCATTACTATGTAAATGATGAACAATTGCACTACTAAAAGTCTGCTGTACGTACTGTAACAATGTTCTTAAAATGTGCCAAAGATACTGGCGGACACCAAGCCTCATTTTGTCCCTCCAATGTATGTGCTTTGACGCGTATGTATAAACTAAGAACCAGTCTATGGTAACATAAAGTATGAATTATTCCATTTATGACTATTGTGATGCTGCAACGGAGAGACCTGTCTGTGCAATAGATATGTATTTTTTAGTTTCTCTCTTAATCTAACTTCATTCGAGACTTTTCTGGTATAAATTATGTATACTTATTTTGCTCTTTTTAATTAATACTATCATTTTAAATTGGTCATTATATATTCCACGAATTAGGTGAATTCATATTATTCTACTACGATCATTCTTTCTTCTTCATTCAAGTTTCTACAATTTTTGTGTTTTTTTTGTTAGGGCAGCTGCATATACAAACCAAAGACGTTTCATAGATAACTCCGTTTTAAATCGGAGTCCTTCAATAAAAATTTTCAGTTGGCACGTTTTTGCTCCTTGTTGTTTAATTCCAGCCGTTTTAAAACTCCTTTTACTTTGGATAAGTAAATATGAAGATAATCCTACCCACCAAAACATATTGAATCATCGTGTACATTTCAATAAAGACTTTGTTCTGGGTTTATATCTACTACTTTTGGGATTTGTTTGCAGTGAAAGAATATATCAATTTGGAAAACAACTGGCTAATTATCTCATGAATTTTTATCCATTTTATTTATTGGTAAGTTTTTTCCATTTGGTTATATCTGTCCGAATGAAATATTTGACTTTCTTGTCCTGTGCATAGTTACTACTCACAAATTACAAGTAGTATCGCTACTAGTAACTAAATATTGTTGCGTTTCTGCGTCGTTCTCAGCGTTAAATTTATAACTATACTCAGCATTTGACTGTTTGGAGTTGTAAAACCTTCGTGGATTATTACTAGGATTTAAGTACACGTACATCTCGACAGTTGATATAACATATAACCTGGGACTCTTTTGTGTTGTAAATTCACCACAATTAAATTTCTTGCTCAAAATCAAAGTATCGCAAATTCATTATTTTTCTCAAATGATCCAGATACATCATGACGGTGATAAAGCATGAATAATTGCGCCTATCGTTAATCAATTCTCAAAATTATGATTAGGCAACTGAAATCATTATTCTATTTACTATCAGTAGTCGAGAATTCCCGTTCATATATTTCATTTTTTATTCTTCAAATAGTCTAACAAATGCATACTGATACCTTTAAAGTATGACTTCGATCTATGAAGCCATCTGAGCTCCATATATTCTATATCATAGCCAGACGTATGCTTAATAATCCTTCAGAAAAGTGTCTTATGGGCAATTTGAATTTATCTAAGTTAAAACAAATCACTTCTACAGCAAAAAAAATATGTTAAAAATAATAATTATAAATTGTTGCCATAAACTGATGAGGGTAATCAGTTTTAATCAGAGTAAAAAAATATTGTAATTTACATCCGTCATTTGGGATTTTTTAGTGTTCCACATGAATTACAGAGATTATATGCATAAAATAATTATAACTTTTTTCATTTAGAATTATGGAGATCATTGTTTTTACACATTGAAACTATTTTGCGATATTCCCAAATGAGTAGAAGTTTGTATTTCTGACATTTCGTGACTTAATGCAAGTCACTTCTTCAGAATAAATAAATAAGTAACCGAAATAAATTCACACAAGGTTAAAAAGTAAAAAGGAAACAGTGCAGAATATTTTTAGTACAATCAAAATCATAATAGGTTTGAACATGTTCATGTCATGTCATTTTCGGTCAAGGTGATGATTGTATGTGAGACCCTAAAATGTTAGTTGTGTGTTATGAAAGGAGATAAGAAAGAATGTGTGATTTGTGACATGAAGTAGTGAAGTGAAAAAAAATGTGTATGGATAATGAATTGAGTTAAATGTGGTTATTTGGATAAACAGTCCAGGTTGAATAAATGGTCAAGCTTTTTTCATTCAGCAATCATAGTACATAATATTTTCAATAACCACCACATCGATGTTGGAAATATCACAATATTTCAGGTTTTCCCGACCATAAACAGTGATGAGTAACCGAAGCACTTCACATAATCCTAAATGCCTCTGCTCTCAACAGGAAAGAAAGCTTGACCATTTATTCAACCTGGACTGTTTATCCAAATAACCACATTTAACTCAATTCATTATCCATACACATTTTTTTTCACTTCACTACTTCATGTCACAAATCACACATTCTTTCTTATCTCCTTTCATAACACACAACTAACATTTTAGGGTCTCACATACAATCATCACCTTGACCGAAAATGACATGACATGAACATGTTCAAACCTATTATGATTTTGATTGTACTAAAAATATTCTGCACTGTTTCCTTTTTACTTTTTAACCTTGTGTGAATTTATTTCGGTTACTTATTTATTTATTCTGAAGAAGTTGACTTGCATTAAGTCACGAAATGTCAGAAATACAAACTTCTACTACTCATTGGGAATATCCTCAAAAGAAAATTATGATTATTTTATTGTTATTACCTTTCCACCCATTGCTTAATCTATTTGAAACTATCATGTCGAAATTTAGAAATTAAAATAATTCTGTAAAAGTAGTGGATGAAGCTGCATACTGAAATGTTAATTTTGAATTTATTTACTGGGTGTATACAAATAATTAATCAATCATCTTGTTTAACTTATTATGTCTCCGTATATATTTCATTACAGGTGTATACTTTGATAGTTGTTATGCATAAAATGTTGAGTAAATATTTGTAGTTACTGTGATGAATGATATTCTTATATCTGTGTTAACAGTTATATCTTTAGATATTGATGCAAATTTCAACACTTGATGACTGTCTCACTGCCCAATTTACATATAATATGTATACTAGCTAGAAATATTCTTTTTTTTCATCTATATCTATTTCTGGTGTTTTTTTTTATGTTAATGAACTCATGACCATTGAACAATGAATGATACAGTTATACTCTAATTTATAAAGTTTTATTTGATTAACTTTTGTAATAAAGGAAACAGTCGTTTACCTTCTTCTAGAGTCATATTGCTATTGAATCATTAATGATATTGGGGTATTTTTATGCTGCTTTTGTGTTCGTTTGGCCCCAAGTGATGTTATTTCTAAACTTGCATACTGATCTATCATTCACTTCAAATATTCATATACTAATTCGATTATGTAAGTTAATTGACTGTTTTAGTTTGTTTTTTTTGCTTAAATTTCCATTTAAATAGAAGGTGATAGAAAATCTTTTTGACTAGCATACCTTTATTGAATCTCTCTTCCTGATGTATTTTTTCAGTTTTAGGAGTTAGATTAACTGAGATGTGGTGTACTGACCATTTATAATCCCCTCTTACTGTTGTTGGAAAGCGAAATGTTGCTTGGAGAGGACACCAGGAGTATGACTTCGTCTTCAGACCTTTGATTTGCTACCTGTAGGCTTATCGTTCTTCGACCGACCTATTTAACATTGCAGCATTTAGAGAAATAAAGCTTTCAGCTAATATGCTTTAGTCAGGTCATTATGATACCTAAACCACTAGATCAAAGTAGGATCTATGGTTGATTTATCTATAATTATTTTGATCCAATCTTATTAACGCCAAAGACAAGCCAACATCTTTAGGATCTTAATAATATTGTCATATTATCAAAGAACTATTGAACAATTAAAATTATTTTATAGCATTCATCTATCCTTATGAACACTCATCAAACAAATCTGATTTCTATTCATATGTTATCCTCAACCTTATGTCCCTGCAGTCTTGTATGATTTGTGTGAATCCGTTACTTAGCCACTGTTTTTCCCAGTTTGTTTGTTTCCAGATATGCTTGCTTACCCTTTTTCAATTCCATTATTCATATTATTTTCATTTTGTCACTCTGCGTATCATTGTAAATCTGCTATATCTCAATTGTTTTTTTTGTATATTTTTGTGTTTCTGTTCTAGCTATTTCATGTCTAGTGACCAGTTTAGCTTTACTCATACCATCAATGTTGAATTTAACTCGAAGAAATCCTGAAATGTCTAGTCATTCTCGTAATTTTGGAAAAATTGGTTCATTACTTTTAGCAATAGCTTTTAATTCAATTCATCTTGATCTCAATATGTCTGGGTATGTTTAAATATATGTCTAAGAACTTATAATTTAAAAGGATTATCTTTTGTGTCTGAACACTATAATGTATTTGTTTGATTTTCCCCTTTGCATTGTTTTAACTAAGTTATTCAGTTTGTTCAGATGTTTCTAACCATTAATGACAATCATCTTTTGAATAATTATTTGAGTGATGCGTATGTTTGTGATTTATCTATTCGAATGATTCTTGTAGAATCAATATGATTCCGAATAATAGCCGTGTACATATATATATATATATATATATATATATATATATATATATATATATATATATATATATATATATATATATATATAAACTTTGATGATCACAGAGAAATCGAAGGATGCTTTTGTTGAATTCGAACATTTGATTACCTTAAACATAATTTGTGCTTACTTTCAACAAACTCCGAAATTTCCTGCTAAACTATCCTGTCAGAAGTAATACCGTTGTATTAATTTCATTAGTGTACTTTCACAAACCCATTTATTCGATAGCTGTTTTTCTTTCTGATGTTATTTACAATATATAGAGCTTTATTTTCGAACTGATTAAATTCTCAAACGCAAACTTCCAGTTAAGTGTTCAACTCGATAATAAGTGCCGAAGATAGCTTCATATAAATTTAACTCATCATCACCCTGAATCTGCTGTACTCATCACTTAGATGGTAAATAATATCTCTCATGCTCAAAATAACAGCTAATGGCTTTCTAGTCATTATATTCATCGCTGTTTATACACCACTTGTTCGCTTGATATTATTACCCTTTTTTCATTTCATGTTAAATCTATTCAAAATGGGTTTCATTTTTAAAATAATGTAATAAATTATTTTAGACTATTCCATGTATTTCTTTTAGTTGTAGTGTTACTGCCGAAGCTGAAGAAAATAAAACAATCTCTGTTTCTGATTTTACATTTTGCATGATAAATAAAAAACATCAATGAACTTGAATAAAGTATGAACAAATATCGTAGTAAAATGGTGTGAATTCATTTATTTCATGGATTCTCATCCATAAGTTATAGCCTAAAAGCATAGTATTTTTTGCTAAAACGCAACAGGTGTGCATACTTTATATCTGAAATATATTGAATCACCCGAATCGAAATATAGAGATAAAATTAAGAGGCTATAATACAAGAGAATTCAAATTTTTTCAAACGTCTGTTTTTTTATAAGTTAAATTTGTGAATATTCCAGAAGAGCAAGGGAACAATGACACTTTCGAAACAGAAAATAAATTATGTCATGCTGACTAGTTCAGTAAAGCTCAGAAGTAAGAACAAAGATATTCGAAATTTCAATCAAAGTTGTAATTGAAGAAAAGCAGTCCTATGCAATAAACTCACAAAAATAAAGTCACCAAGACATAATAAGCTTGATAACCGTTTCTTTTTGGACACAAATTCGGTTAAAACTTTATTGCAAGAGTTTCGTCAGCAAGTAAAAATTTTGAATTCCTTTGTTTACTAATTCTCAAAAATTTCGAGACTGAAATCAAGCCCATTGTTGAACGGACGACAAGCGATTGCACCGATGAAAAACTGTTCCTTAAATTTCAACTTATATGAAGATGTGGATGAAAACTGTCTTTTCCTTCTTCTCAGTTTATATGCTTTGGCAAGTACATATATTTGTAGGTAACACATTTTATCGTCCAAATAAGCATTTAGCGTTGTATAGCGACACCAAGTTGGCATATTCTCAGTTGGACCCCAACCAAATAGTCTTCCTCTCTTCAACAAGTGATTACCAAAACATTTTGGGATAATCTATATGAACCGAAGGCGATTTTGAATGTATCAGAGAGGATAAGAGAAAATTACTCGTGCCTGCTGTAATCAGTAATAAACTTCACCTAATCAAACAACTGCAAATTTATACTGAATAATTAGAAGAATTATTTTGCTGTCTACCTGAATGCAATTTACTCATATTTACAATTGTAACTTGATTACATCGGATCATTTTACATCATCACTAACCAATAAGCAACACTGCGTCCAGAAGTTAGACGATCTCATCTTGTTTATGGGCAAAATTAATTATAACACATTAAAATCATAATGAGTTAACATTGATAGAATTAACTTGTCCTACGTTTGTCACATCACTATTATACGACTTACTCCATTATTGTACTTTTTTCATTATTCAGGTAGTTTTCTGGCAAAGATATTTCAAGTTATTATTATCTAAGACTAATTAGCTTCTGTATGTGACCGTAAAATTAATTAGGAAAATTAAATATCGCAATTACATGGATACTTTTAATATTATTATTATTATTATTATTATTATTTATTTGAGAAATTTTCGTAAGTCACTAATCCATTACACTTGAAATCCTCTAATTATTCATCATTAACATTATTATGATATGTTTTCTTTTTTCCTTACAAATACATTTAGCGCTATTGTTTACTCTGTAACAATTCCTACTTGTGTATTATGCATAACTTGGATGATATGTTTATTTGTATGTTTATTCGCTTATGGAAAATTTACATTCGATGTGAAAAGTTTATTTGTTTATATACTGCAAAATCTAATTTATCCTGGCTTATTTATTATTTCTGTGTCATTTACTTCTATAAAATCAGTAAGTTGATCAATTTTATTTTTGCATTTTTAAAAAAAAAAATTAATATTATTCCCATTCACTTTAAAAATACCAATACTATCGTCAACTGACATCGTATTTTTCAAACTGTTATACACTTGAAAAAAAATGAATTGATCAATAAGTATTTTTTATTCCTTCTAGTTTTGGAACTTTTCAATACTATGAAATTTGGCGTGAACTTAATAACTTCCGGGCTTTAAAGTCTTATTTCAATTTGTGGTTGAAATGACCTTCAAAATGTATTGAACATTAGATATACTTCGTATACTTCATTATTTACATGTATACACTTTCATTAGCATATATAATATGATTTATTTTCAATTATATTTAATTGATTATGGCAATTGATTTAGAAGGTCATGTTCTATCTCACATATTCATAGATCCCAAGATCATTTTGAAGTACAGTAAACTTTTAATTTATCTTTTTTTTTTACCCTAATTACCGAGTTCATGCCTACCTAGTTAACAGTTAAGGTCTAATGTTATTTGAACAGTAACTTGGGACACATGTAGCTAGTAGTGAATGGAGATTTTCAGGAAACTGATATCTGTTAGATTAGTTTTCAATTTTGTTTCATAACAACTTTAAATGGTTATTAGTATGAGGTTGTGGAGATTGTTGAATTTCATTGAAATCATGAGCTGACAAATGTTCGACTGTCGTTGGAAACGTGGAAACACGTGGAACAAAGACACATTTAGGCGTCCTACAATAGTTGTCTTCTGGGACCTTGAGGCGGCATTTGACTCTGTAAATCGTGAGGTTCTGTGGCAGTGTCTATCATTGAAAGGTGTACCAAATAAGTACATTAACCTTATACAAGCTCTACTCGAACACTACATGTCGAGTTAGAGCTTATGGCAAACTGTCATTGAAATTCTCTAATTCAAGTGGTGTCCGTCAGGGATGTCCATTCTCTCCATTCTTGTTTAACTTTGTCGTAGACATGCTTGTAGAGTTAACATTAAGCTCGTCAGATTTTTTAGGGGTTGACCTTCTACCGGGAAAATCGCTTACTGATCTAGAATATGCCGATGACATAGTTCTATTCGATGAAGACGCTGACAAAATGCAGAGTCTTCTGACTACCATAAGCAACAATCCAAGCATCTTCGGGATGCTGTTTTCACCCCCGAAATGCAAAATGTTGCTTCAAGTTTGGGTTTCATCGGTACCTGAACTAGTGATAGGGAGTGAAGTAGTCGAGCGTGTCGACCTCTTCACTTATCTGGGAAGTCTCATCAGTGCTGATGGCCTGGTGACTGACAAAATCTCAGCGCGGATACAGAAAGTTCGATTGTCTTTTGCCAACTTGAGTCACTTATGGCGCAGGCGAGATTTTTGTTTGCTGACTAAAGGTCGAATGTACTGCGCAGTAATTCGCTCCGTCCTACTTTATGGATGCGAAACATTGCCAGTTAGAGTAAATCATATCCGTAAGTTACAGGTATTCGATCATAGGTGTCTTCGAAGCATTGCTGGTATATCCTGGGACTGCCGAGTAAGCAATGCTACCGTTAGGAAAAGAGTAGGTCAGTAGATGAAGTAATGAATCTTCACCAGTTGAGGTGGTTGGGACATGTGTTACGAATGACCAACCACCGACTTCCTCGACGAGCTTTGTTTTGTAGTGTAGGAGCAGGTTGGAATAAACATCGCAGAAATCCATGAAGTCACTGACAAGTGGACTGAGTCATGTTGGTAGATGTAGACTACCTGGTTGGGGTCCACGAGACGAAAGTCACGAATGGTTAGAGACTTTGAATGACATGGCTCAGAATCGCTTGCAATGGCGCAGGTGCATCCACTCTTTGTATTCTCTCAAATCCTAATCTTTTGTATTGGTCAACACCTCTACCTTTGTCATTCTAACCTTATCTCACTGAATTATACTTGTTGAATAATATCTACAAACCATAGTTTTCTTCATTACCATTAATACCTCTACTATCTTTATCTCTATGGGATCTGATTTGACATTTGCGTCTGTGTGCTAATGTGGTATGGCAACATGAACTTACGTTCATACGTACGAAGTTCTACGTTGCAACTGGCTGACTGACAGGGTCATATAATATTAGAAACACAGTTTAAAATAAATGTACTAAGACTCAAAATAAATATTACATCTATACCAAAAAACGACAGTTCAGTTTGGTGATAATGTTTTGATCTGTGGTTATTTCTTCCAAATGATAAAGGACGCTAGAAATCCTAACTGAAAACAAAGATTAGGGATGAAATTCTGATGTAAAACGATCTATCTCTTGAATTCACAATTTTTAATTTAAAATAATCATCCTGTAAAAACTATTTTACAAGAAAACTGGGATGAACATTGCACTATAGTATGTACCTTTGTCTTTCTAACCTTATCTCACTGAATTATACTTCTTCAATAATATCTTGGAACCCTAACCTTCTCCTTTACTATTAGTACGTCTGCTATCTCCACCACTATGGGATTTGAACTACTTATGTACGAAGTTCTACGTTGCAGCTGACTGACTGATTGGAGAAACATTAAACGGACTAAAAACTGGCTGATGAAAACGTCAAATTTAACGCGTATTGTAATAACTTGTAATAGTGTATTTTTGTTGAAATGTTTTGTTAGCTTAAGTAATATGAAGGACAAATAATTGATGTATAAACCATACTGAATCATTTTACACCTTTATTTGATCGATAGTATCAATTCCTGATGTGACTTCAAGTCGCGTAGAAGTTTAAATTCTTCTTCTTTCCTAACATTCTTTTTGTCAAGTGTGTTGTCATCTGTAATAGTGAGTTCTAATACACCAAAGAAAGCTACAATTGAACATTATATCGGTTTTGAAATTGTTGAGTATTATATATCGAGTATATGTTGTTTAAATTTTGTAATTGTTTATGTGAACTGAATAATTTGGAATGTAACTGTATGAGCTGTTATAAAAAATGTTACAAATTTTAGTTGTAAAACCAAATGCTGGCAAACAAACGAAAACACTACAGTTCTTCACATGTTCACATTTTTATATCCGCTTTAGAAAAACGAAAGACAAATACGCTGAAATTCGATTACTTTATATGCGGTGCGCGGACTAATTGTTGTAGCACATAAACTAGTCAAAAACTCGAATGACGGAATGCGTGTGGTAAATAGTGACTGTTGAAAATATTTATAAAATATGTTTCGAATAATTGCAATTTGAATACATGGTAAAAAGGCGTTGGTTGTAGTATTGTACAACTAAAACTGATCCTATGATTTATAGTACTGAGTAAAAATTATCACTATTTGAATCAAAATAACATTGATAATAAAAAAAGAACATTTAAAACTAAAACGTGTTATTATTGCATGTCCATAGTTATCTTCCCCAATTATCTTCAGCTTCTTTCTAGTATCGTTTTTCTTTCAAAATCAAGCAATTTACACCAGTAAATTTAGTTTACTAGACCGTTTAATGATAAACATCGCGTTAATTTATATCAAATAAGTTATTTGTGTATCAACTGTGTTTATTTGAAGCATAGTAGTTTTCATTCTATACTGTATGAGGTTCCAATATGTTTAATTTTATATCGTTGTCATCTCATTATTACTATTGCTATTTTATCACTTATCTTTTTTCCTCTTTTTTAGATGAATATATTTCCTTCCAACTTGATTGTGTTTTTTATTTTCTCAATCTTATCTTTTTTCCTCTTTTTTAGATGAATATATTTCCTTCCAACTTGATTGTGTTTTTTATTTTCTCAATCTTTATATCATGTATGATTTGTCTTGTAATTTGGGATATTAATGATGATTTATTCACCGATCAAATTCAACAAACGTTTATTAACTGCGAATCTAAGATGGCAATGACTACTTTCGAAAATAATAACGATAATAGTTCATTGGAGAAACCATCATCGATTTCACTGAACAACACAAGAGGTCATTCGTCTGTATTTAATTTATCCGGTGAATTATTTATAAGGTTAATTTTGTAAGTTATAGTTTCATAATGACTTCTTTATCTTTATGTAGAATAAATAGAACGTGATTAGCAGTGGAATCCAGGACTCGCGTTCCGTTTTATTTTGAACTCTTTAGCTGATTGTATCTGCATCTGAAACTTAATTTTCACTCCGATACTCGAACCCAGTACCATTCGCCTCAAACGCTTTCACCTTATCCGCCTAGCTACTGAGTTCACGTAGCCACTCACCTGTACAACGAGTATGAGTTTTAAATGAATATAAAATGGTTTGCATTATTATTTTGGACTAGATTAGACGAAATGTGCGCCCTATATTCCACTGATAACCCTATCCTATCTATTTTATGTAAACTTATCTCATAATGGCTATATCGTGACAGTCCGCATAGAATGTTTAGGTGCCAACCACGACTGATTGAATTTCAGTCAACATATCAACAATGTTATAATCCAAACCATTTCAAATATATTTCTTTTCGTTTGGACCTAATGTTTATGGTGTAGAGTAATTACAATGAAAATCGATGATTGGAACTGTAATCCTATAGCATTATGTTAAAGAGCGTATATATCAAATAAGAATTGACGTAAATTGCACAACATTCGCAATCGGCTTCATTTATGCAATTTTATTCAGAATGCTAAAAAAATACGTTGATTGGCAAATAAAAAGTGAATTATGAACTTGAATTCCTGATGTATTGCTCTAAGTTCTAGTCACACTTTTTCTAATTAACACTGTTGCAAGTATAATTAGAAACCTTCATAGAGTAACTTACTCAATAGTTGCTAAATATAATTTTTAAGTCGTTTCATGAACTGTAAACGTCTTGTCGATTAATTGCGATTTCTGAAATACATAAGTTTTAATCAATATGTGTGTAACACTGTTGTATTCCTTTTTTATCTTTACGAATATGTACTTGATTAGCTTCTAAATTATTATTTAATCGTAGTAAACTTAGTTATTCAGTGAAATATCATCAATAATATTTCAGAATGATTAGATTAAGGTTTTATTACTAAAATAAAAAAATAATAATGACAAAGTATTAAATTTTTTTTAAAAAGTAGGCATCACGTAGTTTTATTGTTGTTTAAAATTTTTATAATAATGTAATTGCGGTGATAAATTTTGACATGAGATTAATTATTGCTTTCCATATGCATAAAGATTTTGAACAAAAACATCAAATCAGATACCTTGTTATTACATTATTTGCATCTTAGCTGATTAGTAGTTACAGTCTAGAAACTTGCCGTTCAACTCCAGTTCAATCGATTGTGTATACTTCTTGTTTCAGTTACACATTGAAATTATAGTTCACGTATTTGTAAATTGATTACTTAGTTTCTTTAAATTAAATCACAATTCAATATAATATAGAATTGGTATTTTTTTTCTTTAATCATTGTTTTCTCTAAATTCTAGGACAATTAATACTTAACTGTGATTTTATACTTACTGTATAAATGACAATGTGTAACATTTTTTGTAGGAATTATTTTCTATATTCTTTTTTTTTTATTTGTTCTCTCTTCACGATAACTTATGTCGCATATTTTAGTATGTATTATTCATGTTAAATAATTGTTTGCTAAAACAAAACCATTTACAAAGCATACACAAAATAACAATAACGCACAATTTGTTTCAATTTGAAATTCGTCGTTTGAATACTACTATTATTGATGTAACTGTTCAGGGAATTTGAATAGCTATAACAAACAAAAAAGACGAAGTACCATAATCTTGACTATCATAACAATGTAACGAAAGTTTACTAATAAGAGAAAAGAGGTTGTTTACAATTCAACTTATCAATTAATTGTACATTGTAAATATTGCACTATATCATAAAATATCACTTTTATTATTATCATCATTATCATCGTTTATTTTTGTTCCCATTTCACTTGACACTTTAGGTTAATCGGTTCATTAGTTAGTTTATTAACCTTATTGATTTATCTTACTTATCATATGGAATTATCTATGGTTGATAATATTTGTCAAATGTATACAATATTCTCATTGAAAATATTTTGTATTGCACAAATCTCTGTTGGTTATCCTCAAAAATGGCTCTGCGACAAGGTTAGTAATAAGTGATTTATGAAAAATAATGCATCTTACAATCTGTTTATATGACAAAATGTAGAGAGTGTTTGTTGGAGAGTAAAAGCACCTCATTAAAAGTATTTTATAGCATAATATATTTTAAGGTGGAGTTTCATTCTAAACTGGATAATTTGGTTGTGCAGTTTTCATTGTCCCTTTGAACAACATCATCAGCACAAATCAAACCATCCACCATAATCATCCATCTGAGTTACACATTTTCCCCGTCTTCTCAAAACTGTATATCTTAAAGCTTATTATTACATGAATGTGAAAAGTACAAAATCACTTGGTGCATATTTGTTTGTTGATTAATAATCATGTCAATCCTTACACATTGTATATTTCATCTCTACTTAGCATATTAATTTTTCCACTTCTATCCATCACAAACACCAGCTCCTATTGATCGTGATAATCACACCTTTTATCATGATATTCGGTTAATTGACACTTGTGTTTTTCACGTGATTATTAAATTTCATTCCTTTCTCTTACCATGTAACAGTGTGTATTAAGTTCATCATAAATCAGGTTGGTGTAAATTAGGTCATTCTCTCTTTAAAGCAGTATTCACTATGTATATATTGTGAGGAGAATTAGTGTAATTCCTAATTCTCAGTTTCTTGTTATAGGCCAAAGGAATTGTAGTACATAATATGCATACAACTTAAAATTCACTAAACAAGATAGATTGTTTGATATACGCTTGTAGGATAGTAGAATATACTGCTTGTATGACACGTAATTTATCACAGTTAAAATCTAATTAATTTAATGTAATTTATCAAGTGCTAATTTATGTATTCGGCTTTTAGCCATATTGTTTGTGTAAGGGTTATATAGATCAAAGTAGGTTAAATAAGTTTAACACCTAGGGTTTACTAGTTGGAAGTCGAGCTTTAGTTTTACTTGCTTATACTAATGAACTTGGCGCTCTATAAAATTATCTGTATCATTTTAATGTTACTATCATACTTGGATGAAATAAAAAGGGTTATAACTTGGTTAGTATATCCAATAAATTTCCCATAAAACAGATACTTCACTCGTCAAAGTTATGTATTTCGAAAGATTGAAAAGCAATCACTGATCTTACTCTTTTGCTACTCGTAATTAGAATTTGTGTATCATAGACTATTCTCTGTAAATAGATCGAAGCAAATAATTTCGACTTTTTCTTTAACTGATCATATGTTTCGATCACACATCCGCCTAAAGATAACTGCACGCTATCGGCCAAGATTCAGCTTCCTTGGCTAATGGATGAAAATGCGCACCATCGGTTGGACATAAGGCCTCAATTTCTAAAGAAAGAGTATATTTACATATATATATTCTCAGACAAGTAGCCAGTTGGATTTGAGTATAGGAAGCTTGTTGATCAGTTTCAAAACCGGACACCTTACAGCACAACAAAAATACCGATAGTTGTAAAACATTGCTGTTTTCAATTACTTTTCTAAATAAGCATCTTGAAACTGAAGTGTTCAGAACGGTGATGATAATTTTAATATAATTATCCTACTACAAAAAGTAACTTAAGAACGATACTGTTGGATTGCCCTTAATTTCATTGTTTTCTTAAATTGATATTTATCTTCTTTGAAATATCCTAATACTCCCATTTATATTCACTGCTAGATACATTCTTATTTTATTGAATTCTTTGGTACATTTCTTCAAATTTTAGGTTCGATGTCGATCTACTCAACTCTTTGACAATGATTCCAGCAATTTTTTACGCTCTGTTTTAATATCTATGGTCAACGTTTGTATAATATTATCAGTTATACTTCGTTATCAGTTCTGTCCAAGTTTCTTTACAGATATAGAAGTAAGTCGTGTGAGATAAAGAACATTGTTTACAGGTTTACTTAATGTGTATCCAACTATATCCCTACATTAGCTGCTACCTTGATGTGGTGGTCGGGCTTGCCTATTGTGATCACTCAACCGAGCCATATTGGCTAGAACACATGTTCCTTTAGGCCCTACCATGCACGACAGGTCGGTCGCAGGACGGTTAGACTAAAACCAGCAACTCAAGGTATGAGGATAAAGTCGTGCTGCTAACTGTAGAGGGGTGTGACAGTGGTCAAATGTTTTCCTTGGACAACCAACACCCATAGCGATGCTACCTACTCACAAGGAAGGAAGGGTTAGTAAAGATCGGCCTAAAAATGTCACATCACACATTACCCCGCGGATTCCCGCCACTTAAAGAGCGGAGCTAACACTTTAAAAACTTTCCATAAAAAGGCTGTGTGAGAACGGCCTCAAGCGGTTGTCCGTTGGGCTCTGCGGTGACGCTCCCAGGTCTCTAAGACCGTCGCCACTGCAGCTTCCTTTTCATGTTCTTCCGGAAGTGCCCCTCCGCGGTGTGGGCAACCACGAAGTAACATCCGCCCTCATACCTGAAAAGCACAGGCGATTGATTAACTTGCTCACACAAATTCAACTTTATTAATATACGTTTTTCAACTTTTTTTTTATAGATTTTCTTTCTCCCATGGATTTTCTTCACATTTCATGGCAAACAAATTAATCAATATCGAAATGTTTTAGCACTAACCTGTTTCACTACTATTTTAGTATATATGGTATTTATTGATTCACCAATTGTGAAAGGCTATGCACCACCTTTGCCAACATTTGATCGTCAATTTTTCGGACGAACAAATTCACCAGTGTATTATTGGAGTGAATTCCTATTAACTATTGCATTATGTCCATTGCATGTATTATTTCTTGCAGATCAATCCAACATAACTACACAAGCTTTAGTTGATCTAATTTTTTTCAACCAGTTCGGTAAATCACATACACATAAACAATATTCAACTTTATCATCATCATCATTCATATGCTTAAAATGTATTAAATTGCAAATAGCCTATGCTTTAAGTTACATTTTTTCATGGATATTCTATACAACTTATGGATTATTACCATTTTGTATTAGTTATTGGTTTATAGCTAGTTCATTAGCATCGGCAATTTTTGGTTTTTATAGTTTTATTATTTGTATTTATTTATTACTTCGTGTGAATATTGTCACAGACAATGATTATTATTATTCTTACACATAGAACAAAACCGAATTTTTGTCTTGTATGTTACGCTTCCTCCTCTTCTATTTCTACTTCTTTGATTGTTCGCTTAAAACTATCATGAAAGCATTTTTCTTTATGGGATTTTTCTCTCTCTCTCTCTCTCTATGTCTTTTCTCCAATTTTATTATTTCTCTGTACATCAGTGTATATAAATTTTGTATTAAATAGTAATCATTAAAGTATATGCCAGTTGATGCATTTAATTTATGATTTTCTTTAGTTTTCTTTTCCTTTATGTATGTGTGAATGTGTGTCTGAATTGTTATGCCTGGTGATGCATAGTTTTACATAGTTTAAATAATAATTTTCAATTGCCGATTAAAACAACACATTAATAATGATTACAAATCACATATTATTATATAGAGCTTAGTGTGTTTCCTTTTTTTGAAGAATTTTCAGCGTAGACTATAACATTTAAGTTTCTGAAATATGAAATTAGTTATTTCGCATTTCATATTTCATGGCCTTGTTATGTAATGCAATCTTCATTGATTATAACTGGTAAATAACTACAGGTAAATTACCGTGAAAGAATGTAAATTTCCAATAAAGATGCTTTTCCCCTTTCTATAATATCAATGAAATATTTCATTAAATAAATTTTTGATTATTGCTACTGATCTTATGTTTTCTTAGGAAATCAACATTGTTAGTAGGTATTTCAGTTTAAGAATTCAATGGAATCTTATTCAGACTAAAATATTGTGGACTGATAGGTTTCTGTGAATATCATGCTTAAAATTGCATTGATGTACCTATTTAGGAATTTCTTGAAAAATCCTGGTTTATAATTCACATGTAAGGGTAAAGACTAAAACTATCACTCGATTCTATTTTTGAAGAACACAACCAGTAAAGACTCGTTGCATTTGTATTAGATGTCTCGGTAACCGACGGTCAGAGACTTTAAATGACATGGCTCAAAATCGTTTGCAATGGCTCAGGTGCATCCATTCTTTGTGCTCTCACAAATTCTAATATTTTGAATTCTTCATCACCTTTATCTTTCTCTTCTTAAATTTATTTCACTAGATTGTACTTTTTAATAATATCTTTGACCCTAATCTTCTCCATTACCGCTAATAATTCTAACTTATCTACCACTATGGGATATGAATGGACAATTTAGTCTCTCTATGCTAATGTGATATGGCAACTTGACTGACCTGTTATCTAGATTAATAAGTATTATAACAGTGAAGTGATATCAGGATGTAACTGATATGTTGTCGCTTAATTTCTCTTAATATTTCATGTTTTGAGTTAAATTGCTTAGATGATAGCCCTTTTTAAGTTATATGCTACTTTACCGTATTGTATTACCATCTCATTCACGTTTTTTCCTTAAAAATAACAGTTAAAATGATAATTATATATACAGGGTAACTTATTTTTCCAGAGCATGGAGACCGCCCATAAGTAGAGGAAAAACAACTCATCATAACGTACTTGAAAGGTACGATGGGATTTAAGTGCTTCGCTGTATAAAAATAACTACTTTAAAATCATCATCCCAAGTCATATTTTCCAATGACTTTGAGAAATTTTCAAAACAAGGGGCTGAAATCACATAAGTGATCTTAGTTATTGATTGATTAAATCAATATCTATCTATCTTAATCTTTTGCTTTTTAAATGTTTGTACTATTAAAAATTGTTTAATCAAACGACATATAAATAAAAGATTTACACACTTTTTCTTCTGTAGTGAAATGTTAAACGTACAATAAACAAACCTAAAATTTGTGGGTTCTATTCATCGTAGATTAATTTTAACTGAGGTTACATCGAAAACCATTTAGCGCTGGCCAGCTGTTCTGCTCTAGTGTGTGCATCCATAACATCGCCAAAAGTCGAACCTAGAATCTTTGAGTTTCATGATTAACCCTTAACTATAAAAACCACTGGTTTAGCATCCTAGTCATCCAATAAGACTGATGAGAATTGTTTCACCTTCGATTTGTTCAACACTTCATCAGTTATCACGAATACAACCTACAAAATAAAATTATAATCTTCACGAAACCCCTTCACTGTTAAAATCTGAAATATGTTTTTACTTTATTTGTAAACACTTTCCTTCTCTGTATTTGTCATGAAAAATGTTTATGCGCATTTCTTTTCACTATTGGATCGTCGTGTTAAAGTGTTGATTTAACTAATTTTGATTGTTAGAATTTTCAATAATACAGAAAAATATTTCATGTGTTTATAATTAACTAATTTATCCATTGGAAACCTAGCAATTGTTCAATCAATTCAAACAAAACTGTTACATAATAAAAATGGGACTAATTAATTTGTCATTATGGTTTGTAGCATTTTCCTTATAGTCCAACTGCATTAACATGATGATTAATCGGAATTTAGCTAATAATTAACAAATTCTTTTTGTCTATAGTGTTTTGATAGATAATGTCCAACAAAGTGTAGATAAATAATTTCTATACATTGATTCCTAATTAGATCATGTGATTATTGTCCATTATTTAGAACACATTTAATAGAAGAAATTGACTAGTTTATTACATTGCTTGTTTGTTTGCTACATTATCAATTTATTTAAGTTGTAGATGATACAATTTTATTTTTAGCGTCTTTTCGTTTTATTGTTACTTTTGTTTGTTTGTTTGTTTGCTCGCTTTTTTATAGAACGCATTTATTTTCAAAGGTATATTTTATCTAGCATAATCAAATGAGTTATCTAAGCTTTTCTGTCTCACGCTCATAAATTTTAGTTTTGTCTCAATGTATTGTTAATTACAGCAAATTTTTTCTCTCTAAAGTAAGAAATTCACGATAGGCTTGTTATAAGTAAGTGCATTATTAGTCGATTTTAAAACAACTTGCTTTCAAATAATGAATACGTCAACTATTTATTTTTAAACTATGCAATTATTGCATATTCAACCTCATTGTTTTTTTTTTTCAAATTTGTTTGAAATGAATAATCTAGAATTGTTTAACTGTGTATGTATTCACACACTCTTGCAAATGATCTCATTGTCTAATAAAAATACTAAGGCAACTCAAATCGAAATACAATAGCTATTGACATATTTTCTTTTCTATTGATCCTTTAAAGAAACAATAAAAAGTTCATATTATAATTTATAGATCCGATCGATAATGGTGGTTGGAAAATATTCTCTCTTTAATTTCAAGATTAAAATATGCGTTGAATGTATGACAAAGTGCGAAACTTGTTGTAATGTTAGTAATGAGAATCCTTTACATTAATAAGATTTAAAATATTGAAACAGACTATTTTCATTATCAATCATAAGATAATTATACTTTTTTACTATCCTGTTTAGTAGTAATTGAGATTTCTGACGTTTGATAAATGAATGTCAATTACTTTTTCAGGGTAGTTAAATCAATAACCGAATTAAGTTGACACAAGTTTAAATAGTATGAACAAAACACATTCAACTTTAGTATTGACACATACTTTTATTAGTATTATTATTACTAGTATAAAGTACTCTTTTCATTCCAGTGTATACTTTTTCCTAAAATGACATTTATAATGAAACATTTGTCTAATAATGTTCGTGTTGCTATTGAACTAAAATATTCATTTACAACAGATTGTTTTTTCACCCGGTTAAAATGCTACAATCGAAATCAGCGCTTTGCTTGCTTAAAATCAATGTAGTTGAAATAGTCGTTTATAATAAACCATTGAATTCTGTTTAGATCATTTAAGTGTAGTCACTCGTACCTTTTTGATTTAGTCAATTTACCGTTGAATCTTGTTCGTATCATAAGTGATTGTTTATAAACCTGATTGATGTTCTTTGCAGTTTCATATTTTTATTTACTGTCCGTTGTTATTGTTTGTTTTACATTTAGATATACTAATGAGATTATTTTCATCTTAAGATCAGTAAAAATATGATAAAATCATTTTTCGTCGACTCCATTTTTCCATTCTTCGGAATTTCCAATGAAATACCACTACAATCCATGGAATTGAAGTATATTTCTGATCCACTACGTGTTTCAACTTCATTAAAGCAATTTAGGAGTATTGTTTCAACAAACGCTGCATCAATATGGCCGCAAATTCAACATTGGTGGTATAGTTGTTCTCCTGCAACCTTATCATCAATTATGTTTTCTAACAAAGTGTCAACTGATCTACAGCCAAAACCTAAATTCAATGCTGATACTGTTGTAAGTTGCCATTTTTGTAAATATAATAACCTATAGATATCGGTGTTTGAGTTACTCTTTCAATTCTTCGTATGTTGTTTTACTTTTGTAATTTTAAATTCTTGAAATTATAAAATCTAACGAAATTGACAATTTATCAAACTACAGTTCAACTGCTTAGCGAAAAGCAAACACCAACCAATCAATGATGGCTGACTAATTTGATCAATGTTCACATATTTTTCTTATCGTTTAATTGTTAGGAAAATCAAGTTAACTTTCACTGTATAATAAATAATATCATTTATAAATTGGTCATTAATCAGTTTAATCTCTGTCTTCTATAATCTAATACTTGGATTTCACTACGAATCATTCATTGACTCTATACACTTCAAATAAACTTTTAAAAGAATTGTTAGCTGTATTATCCTAACTATTCACCAGCTGTTTATTCGTCTATAACTATTACTTCTTAAAATTTTCTTCTGTGTTTCTATGCGAAATCACCATCATATGGCGGGAATGTTTTTTTTTTGTAAGCCGACATTTTACTTAAATATATTGTTCTATATTAATTGCATATATTATTTCGTTCTTTTTTTTGTTTAGAACGATTGTTTCATTTTCTAGGTTTTATAAGTTTATTACTATTTATAATGAAATATAAACTTTAAAAATACAGAATACATTAAGTACCATCACTCGTTGTACTAATATATCTGGTTTCTTAATGATTTCTAAGTGGACTACAGAGTACATTGTGTTATTCAATTACTTGTTTTATAACATGCTCAGGATACAAGCCTAATCATTTAACTTTTGCATTATTAAATGGTAGATATTTTTTAGTACCTTTGAACTAACTATTAATCATTTTGTATCCATCATATACAACTGATTAATTATGATAGTCATGATTACAAATCATCACTCCGATCATTGAATATCTCCAGTTTAATTAATTAGTTACCGGAACATCAATAACTAGAGTAAGCTTATCATTGTAAACGTGACTCAAAATGAAATTCCAATGCAGATCAATGAAGTAAATCATTTGGTTTATTATCGACTCTTGATCGCAAAAATTTTTTGTGATCAAACAAATTGATCACTAAATACTTATCAATCTCATGTTTTTCTAGTTCTGTAGTACTGATCTAATTATATCGATTGATTTCTAATATGGTCATCAGCTTAACTGGTTTGATATCATGTGAACTGTGTTTAGATTGGGGGTCCCAAAGGGAGCTTTGTTGTCCTCAAGGTTGTAAATACACTTTACTGATGAGTCAATGAGTCAGTCACTTTCTCCATTCTTGTTTAACTTTGTCGTATACATGCTTTTAGTGTTAACATTATGCAATTCAGTTACTGATGAGGACCAAGTAGTTAAAACCCAGATCAAGCACCTTGGTGAATACCTCTCAGCACTTAGAATATGATTAGATGTTTATCTCTAAATAATTAAATTTTATTATCTTTTTTTCAATCACCTATTCCTTCATCACATCACCTTCAGTTTTAATTTATAAGAATAGGAAACAATGAGCTGAATTGAATTAAAAACTTACTAATTAGTGTTTAATATTTTTTCACTTCTTTCTCTTTTAAGCATACACGCGAAATTCATTATGCCTACCACTTCCTAGCATCAAATAAAATTAAATTTACTGTTCATCAGGCTAAAAGCATTTGAGAATTTCATTCAAATGTAGCATTCGTATGCATGCAACTATATTCTCAATGATCTAAATGACAGTTCTTTGTATATTTTTCTCTTTAAGATAACAGTTTTATAACAGATCTGAGCTTTATCCCGAAATAAAAACCGTTCGTTTCAATCTTATTTTAATAATATTGCTGTAGGAAATTTTGTTTTTACCATATAAAATCAATGATCTCTAGCCCCATATACTTTACATAGTTTCCCCGATAAACCATGTAGTTTTGTTGTAAATTCGATGAGTGTTGTAGATTCATATAATTTTAACATCATCTTCATGCAATAACAGTTAGGTGAATCGAATTCAAGAAAGCTGGAGATGGTCAAATTAACTTGTTCTGCTTATTTACACCTAAGAAGTTGATATGTAGAATAAAGCTCGATATATTTTACACATATATTTTCATTATTTTATTGTCTATCGATTTCCAGCCAATGTAACAGTATTTTAACTGGTTACCAACTTCACACAGTGGTCAAATGGAATGACCTATGTTTTAGTGAAATTTATCACACGTTCAAATAAAAACAGTATTATCTAAGCTCTTACGTCTGGTTCCTGTAAAACGAAGTTTCGAATGTAACGTTTAGTGTTTTGTGTAGGTTACATACTACAATCACATGATGCCATTCTTTGTTCATTCATAGTAAAAAATATTTTTTCATAATTTTGTTAGACGTACATTGTGCTATTCTAGTCTTTTGATTTTGTAAACTCTTTGTTTCCACATAAAACTATCCACCTAACTCTGCATCATTGAGAAGAGTCATACTGAAATATTTTATTTGAGCGAATTATAAACAGTCACTTAATTTATTCATGAACTAATGTTGGCTGAATAACTGCTTTGAATGCTGGAGAACCCTCTGAAATTGCTTCGTTTTAACCTGCGATTTCTCAGTAAATTTCGCATCAAAAGTTTGTCTTTTAAACTACTCAATTAAAACCCAACAGTTCACATCATATGTGTAACTTCAGTCATTATATTGCTCAACTGTTGTTTAAAAAACAGCAACTTTTTTGTTTTAACCGCTTTTACTTGTGCTTTTTTGTGTATAATGAAATTTGTCTGTAAAAAATGTTTTCATATCATCAAAAGACTCGATGGATTATTTTTTCTTCAGTTTGCTTTTTTATTGATCAACAAAATTCATTGCTTCACTTAAGTTTTGATAATCAGTCTTAATTTAATTAGTTGATGAATGACTTAAAAAAAGACAAATTGCACTTAGGAAAAATTCGATTTTTATAATTGAATTTTCCTAAATATTTTGAATATAAATTATCTTACTGAAGGAAGTAGTTTGTTCATCAATTTCTTTTTGGAGATAGTCATCTGTTGATCATTTCAAATACTTAAATATGGTATTTTTTTTCGTCATAATCGTTATCGCGTCTTTAGTTTTATATTGTTTGCTTTTTTTTTCGATATTTTGATAAATGTATTTGATTTCTATGGATAACTTGGTATTTTAGTAAAATAGTTTAAATAACCAGATGACATTGTTTCGGGTGAATAAGACGCTAACGAAATTTAAGGTCTTGTATTCCCTTTGGTCAATAATATTACCACCTTTTGCATGTATCCCCCTAAATACAAAATGACGCTTCATGACTGATCGGCATCAATACTCGAACTAGTGTTAGAGAGTGAGCCGACTATTTCACTTACCTTAAAAGGCTCCTCAGTCTGGATGTGCATGTGTCAAGTGAAATCTCAACAGGTGTCAGAAAGCGCGAACGGCTTTCGCCAACTTTCATCACTTTTGGCATAAGCGAGATGTTCGTCTACCAACCAAAGGATGAGTTTACCGTACAGTTCACTCGCTTCCATTTGTACAAGTACAAAACATGGATATTTAGAAAGAGTGGGTATTCGTAAGATTTAACTCTTTATCAATCGAAGTGGTTGTGATGCATATATGTATGTATGTATGTTCAGCGAACTCCTACCTCGATAGGAAATGTTTGTGAGAGTAGTAGTCTGGAGGAACTCTGAGGACTCACATATATAAAAGTGTTATCATTGACTGTTGGTTTGAGTCATGTTATTGAATAAAGACTACCTGGTTCAGATCCGGGCGATAACCGTGATCAATGGCTACAGGGGTTCACAAAGAAAACTTTAGTCCGTAATCTTTACAAATTCTCTATAATAGTATTTATGTTGGTTAGTGACTTAGTGTATCGTTTTTTCATATAAGGATTAAAATCTAATCCTAATATGCATAGGTATATATTAATACTCGTTTTACCTGCATTTAAACAATAAGATAATCCCTACTTGTCATCATAATATTATGTAAGTGCTAGCTGAATGATAAAAACTTGTCGATGAAATCTCTTTTCTTATTTTAAATATAAATATATACTTATCTACTAATCAGATTGTTGTTTCACTATTTATTCTACTTCAATTTTGTTTTCGTATTATTGTCATTATCTCAATATTAATTTCATTTTTTTACTTTTTTTTTATTTAGAAAATTATTCAACTCATTGTATCTTTATTTGGAATTGGAATTAGTATACGATTATTGTTTTATTTAATTGAAAAAATTAATCCAACTATGAAAGAAAAACGAGAATGTCGAAAACGTGTAAGTTGCAATTATGTTTCACTTTATTGTATCTGTTTTGAATCATGTAAATTTTTTATTACTCCACATTTTTAAAAAAAAATAGTTGATTAGATAACAAAAACATATGTTCAACATTATGATTATATGTATAATAGTTATGTAAGTCTATTCTATCTGTTGTTTCTTAATAGATGCATTAATCTAATGATTAAAAAAAACATGATCCAACCCTGTTGCTATTATCATTATTATCAAATAACTATTATCAGGCTTCCTTACAAAATGAAATTATTTATTCTGTCAACATGTGTGATAGTTTGAAATGTGTGTTGTTTTTACATTGTACCGTGGAATTCCAAACTAAACATATGTATTCGCATCAATTACATATTTTTCGAATAATGTACATAGCACAAATCCGTTGAGTCACTGACATCTGGACTGAGCCAAGTTAGTAAGTGTAGACTAACAGGTTGGGGTCCGTGAGACAATAGTGACCGATGGGTAGAGACTTTAAATGACATAGCTCAAAATCGTTTGCAATGGCGCAGGTGCATCCATTCTTTGTGCTCTCTCAAATTCCAATATTTTGAATTCTTCATCACCTTTATCTTTCTCTTCTTAAATTTATTTCACTGGATTGTACTTCTTGAGTAATATCCTCGAACCCTAATCTTCTCCATTACTGCTGTTAATCCTAACATATCTACCACTGTGGCACTTGAATGGACAATTTGATCTCTCTATGCTAATGTGGTCTGGCCACTTGAACTGATGTACGTATGTACCGTGTTCTATGTTGTAGCTGACTTTCAAATAATATAACCTATCTTATTTAATTAAGTTTCATTCGTTCGGGAATGGATAAAAATGCATTTTATTCAGTGATACTTCTATTCTTTATGCTGTAGTATGTGTTTTGGTTTAATCAAGAACTATTTTGTACGCTTTATCATCTGCACAGAAACTCTGTCATATTTTTGCTGAAAAAGGAAAGGTAATAAGATTATTATTGTGTATTATCTTGTTCTCATTAAAGGCGTGTCAAGTGATGATTTTCAAAAAATTCTGTTATTATCATTATTTATTAGATACCAATGGGAATACGCTTTAACTTATTTATTTATCTCATTACTAACTTGACAACAAGATTTCACCTTTAAAAAAAACGAGTGACTCATTACAAATTTATGATTTGTTTTAATAAAACGGTTAACCAAAAATATCTTCTAGACTAAATAATAAAACTTTACCTGTTCATCAAAATTTTTTTTCTTATTCAATTAATTGTTTTTTTGAATGTAATATTTACACTAGATAGAAAATGTGTAGCAGTGTGTATAATTACATCAGAGAGTACCATCAAGTGTTCACGTATAAAATTTGCCAGGTGAATCATTTCAAACTTTTCATTTTGATTCAATATCGATGTCATGAACATTATGAACTTAATTGCCTATGTTTCACTTCTTAAATCAATTTAGTGCTGAATAATGTTACTAAATCTTTAAAAAACTAAATAAATATAAAAAATCCCTTGAAATAGATAACTTGCAAAATCCATTAAATAAACATTTAAGTATTTTTATTTCGAAGTGTAAATGAATTTCGTCTAACCTTCTTTCAGCTTCATTACCAATTTGTTTCACTGATACCATGAGCCGATCAATTTTACGCCACTATTGAAAACTTGGAATTACTGGATGGTTGTTTCGTCCCAGTATGAGACTCATCAGCCGGCCCACTGGTCAAGAGGTTAAGCTTTCTCGAGCAAGACCATGAGATCATGGTTTTAATTTCTACTTTCGGAGTCGTGGTTGTGTACTGCTGATGAGTACCTTGCTAGGACAAAACTACCACCCATCCATTGGTGGTTTAACCTTAGTGGGTTCATGATCTCAATGAAACTTAACAATCTCCATAACCTTATACTAACAAGGTATTTATCTCATTCTATATTTTAATGTAAATTGCCCATAATTCGTATTACTTTTTTTGACATTACAAATAGGTTTACTGCATTTTTTGCAATAACTACAAATTTCATTCAATACACCAAAGATTTTTAATGTCCGAAATCGAAAGTGTACCTTTTTCACTCTGTGCGTGTGTAATATATACCACTATAATTTTATGTTTTTCCTATTTATTCTGCCTTACTTCCAAAAATAGATCTGAAAGTAGACGTTTGTTATACTTTCGCATTTATTTAAACTAGTCGTCAACAAGTAAGGATTTCTATCGCTTCTTATTTTATTAATAACTATGAAAATAAGGTATTTTTGATTTTCTTTACTGACCGATTACACAAGCTTTAAGATCGAAAGCTTATTGAATTTCTTGTTTAATCATCCTTTCCACGGTAGATGAATTCAAGTAAAAATTGAATCCTTTTTCATCTTTCATAATTATAGTAATTATTGTTATTATTATCACTGTTATTATTAATATTGATAGGCACAAGCAATTTTCAAAGCTATTGGATTGAAAAATGTTCCGAAATTAAATGACTATGAAGTATGTGTCGCTGTAAATCTTGTTGATCCAGGAGTTGTAAATACAACTTGGGATTCTATCGGAGGTTTAGACTCTATTATCCATGAACTTAAATATGGTGTACTTGAACCGTTACGAGCAAAACGCTTATTATCAATAAATTCAAAATTACTGCAACCACCTAAAGGTGTATTACTTTATGGGCCACCTGGTTGTGGTAAAACACTGCTTGCTCGTGCTATGGCGCATGATGCACAAGCTAATTTTATGAATCTACAAGTAAGTGTTTCCTTTTTTTAAATTAATCTTAATTATTATTTTTTTTAAAATGAAGAAAAACAGAATCACTATCGTGTAGTAGAAATTCTCGTCATGTTGATATGTCAGTCAGTTACCACGTAGAACTTCGTACTTAAGTACATCAGTTCAGGTTGCTATACAGTTACAGTTGCTATATAGTACAAAGACGCAACTGTCAGTTTAAATCCCATGGTGGTAGAGACAGTAGAAGAATCAGCGGTAGTGGAGAACATTAGGAATCGAAGATATTATTCAAGAAGCATAGTTCAGTGAGATAACTTTAGAAAGACAAAGATATAGATGATGAGGAATTCTGGTTAGAATTTGAGAGAATACGATGTAGAGAGTCATTCTTTTAAATGAAACTATGTTTCCATTGAATTAAATAAATATAGTTGGATATTAGTTTAGCTACAATATATGAATTAATTACTACTCAGTGTGAACAGTCATGTAGATTATTAACACTTTAGTAGCTTCGCTGATTCATTTCGAAAACGCTGACCTTAAATATATAACTCTTGAGGGATATCACTAATACTGGTTTATAATCTACTCATTGATTTGTCTATACCCCTGTAATAATGGTGTTACTCGTTTGTCCCCCAATAATATTTGCACATTTAAACCAATAAGCTTTGTAAATAAATTTACATAACTATAATGATTTTCTTGAATTAATAGCTTATGCATTTCCAAAATCCAATAAGTGAACCTTTTTATCGACAATTTTCGTACAACTAATCGAATCCAATGATGCTCTGTTTTTCTTGCTGTCTTTATCCAAATTTTATGTTAAATCTACTTATGCTACTGCATTAATCTTATTTCATTTGTAACTAGTATTGCATTTGAATTACGCTTTGTCGAATGGATACTTTTTTTCAAAATAAATTCATTCAGTAAGCATTTTTGATTATGCTCGATATAATATAAAAATAGATCATGTCAAAAGTTGCTTTGTATTCTTTGTTTGTCATAATGCAACAACAATACCATTTCAATATCCTTTACGCAACACGTGTTCAGTTTATTTGTTTTTTTTTTTGTTAAATTTGCATATATATGTTGAAAATTGAAAGTTCCTGTTAAATAACTTTTAAAACTATCATGAACAAATTGTTAAAATTACTAGGTATTATTACTATGGTCCAAATTGTAGGCGTTTTTAATTTTTATGCCTGACCGATAAACAACCGACATCGGATTTCGATTGTGATAAAACAATTTTCAGTAAAAGAGGTGGTGTCATATGGGTCTTAAATCATCGAATGTTTTCATACTTTTGCTATGAAATCCCAGTTGTGACTCATAAGTAAAAATCCCTCGTTGACGTTTAATTCGTACTTCCATGTTGATCGTTGTTATGTATTCCAAAAATCATTAGTGTTGTTATGTAGGCAGCATTTTCCCATCACATTGTTGATGTCTTTTGGAAATGTTAAATCTCTCTAAATAGTTCCACTTCTCAGTTATTTGCATTCGAGCTATTAATAACAGTATTTTCCATCCTATCTACTTAGGTCACATAGATCTCCTATCGGGATAATTTCATGATTCCTAAATCCTAACATCCCAGCCTACTAAAAACATACAATTCCCGTTCAGATTTTATTTGTTTTTTTTGGTAAAATATTTACATGTTAATTATACACCTAGTGGTTTATAAGATAAAGAACACTGTCCTATGAAACATTCCTAACTGTTTTATGATAAAGTTCGTAATGAAATAATCAAGTTTTCTTTTTCCTGATTTGACTAACTTAAAGATGTCAACAAACTACTTCCACAAAAACAGTCTCATGAAAAGCAAGCACTTACACGGAAACTTGACGATTCCGAAACTCACACCATAGCCTCAGCATACAAGATAATTAACACTTGTTTAACACTAATCAACCTTTCATAAATAACAACATCTCATCAAATGAATACAAAGTTGTCTTTTTCATATTTCACTCATTTAAGCTGTGAATAGTATTTTTTTTTCTCGTACGAAAACAAAGATTACTACCTGTTGTTTTAATTTAATAGGTCAAGAATAAACTGTTAAAGTTACTTATCTAGGGCAGTGTTTTATATCAATGTTATTGATTTGACCATCACGTTAAATTTATCATTTAAATAATAGGATAAAAAGAAATGCATAAATGTTGTATTTATATTTTCGTTATATGATTAAATATTTAGTTTCTTTGGGATTTCACCATAAAAATGCCGTCGAAATTAAAAAAGATAAGGTGATATTTTCAATTTATTAAATTCGTGTTTCATTTATTGTATGTTTAAACAGCATGATACATTTAAGGTACATACTATAGTGCAATGTGCATCCCAGGTTTCTTGTAAAATAGTTTTTACAGGATGATTATTTGAAATTACAAATTGTGAATTCAAGAGATAGATCGTTTTACATCAGAATTTCATCTCTAATCCTTGTTTTCAGTTAGATTTCTAGCGTCCTTTATCATTTGGAAGAAATAACCACAGATCAAAACATTATCACCAAACTGAACTGTCGTTTTTTGTTACAGATGTAATATTTATTTTGAGTGTGCATTGATTTTAAATTGTGTTTATGCGTTAAACTATCGGTTGCTATTATTGTATGACCTTGTGCATTTGTTTAGCAATCCAAGTTGACACATTGTATCACTGCAGTGTGGTATTTTAAATGAGCAACATAATTGGCAAAACTTTAGAATTATATTAAAAATTTGATTCGTAAAAGCAGGAATTAGTTCTCGGATTATAACATTCGAATTCAAGATTTATGTGATAAGTGATGATCACAATTATGAGATTTTTGTCTCTGAGCTGAATGTTTTCGTTGTGGAGCTTTCATTGTTCTTCTGAACGACATCACCATCACAAACTTCAGATAGAGATAATCAAGATTAGCATGATAAACTCACATGATCAACTTCACAGACCGATTCTATCACAACATTGGTTACACAGTTGTTTCACGAAACTTAGTCATTGTTTTAAAGAAATTTTTAACCATATACTACAAATGTATAGGTATGTTATCTACTTTCAAAAGTCACATTTCATTCCAAAGTAAATAAAAAGGAAAGGAATAATTTAGCCTCTTAAATCCTTCTATCAACATTGTTTTAATCAACTCTCAAGATAACAATTCTTCTATACAGCAATAATTTCTTTAGATATGTTTATACACTTGAATTTACCCGTTACATTACGAAGCATTAGTTCGTTCAGACACTGAATGTAAAATTAAAACTCATCCAGTTTTTTAAATTATATTCTTGATTAGCTGTCAATCATCACCTCCATAATTTAATTTATTCATAAATTATACTAAAAAAAGAAAGAAATTTATCTGTACTCACTCATCCATATAATTTAGTTTCTACTGTAAACTATTTCGATTATTATTATTACTTGAACAATCGAATTATGAATTAAATAAGTGTTAGTATTTGTTAAATTTTAAATTTTATTTTTTTAGATATTTTTAATATTGTGCAATGTTCCTCTAACAAAATGGAATAATTCCTCATAGACATTTCAATGAAACTGTAATTTGTTGTATGGAAAGCTATTTCAATTCACTTCTTTTCTCGATGGATATATTTCCTAACAGTAAATGCTTATTGTGTTTACAATTGATGATTGTATGCTAGTCTGTTTCTTTTTAACTACTTTTTATAAACGTTATTGGAATGATTTCTAATTGAAATGTTTCCAAACGGAACAAGTAATAACAATTGGTGAAACTTCATCACTTGAGGTGGTTGGGTCATGTGTTACGAATGCCTAACCACCGACTGCTTCGACGAGCTATGTTTTGTGGTATAGGAGAGTAGGTTGGAAGAAAGCTAGGGGCGGCCAAACCAAAACATGGCAGAAATCAATGAAGTCACTGACAGGTGGACTGAGTTATGTCGGTAGTTGTCGACTACCTGGTCGGGATCCGCGAGATGATAATAGTCGTTGGTTAGAGACCTTGAATGATATGGCTCAAAATCGTTTGCAATGGCACTGGTGCATTCATTCTTTGTGTTCTCTCAAATCCTAATCTTCTGGATTCTTCAACACCTCTAGTTTTGTCTTTCTAAACTTCTCTCACTGAATCATACTTCTTGAATAATATCTTCTAATCCTAACCTCTCCTATTACTACCTCTCCTACTATTGGATTTGAATTGACAATTATATCTCTGTGCTGATGTGGTATGGCAACATGAACTGATGTACTTACGTACGAAGTTCTACGTTGAAACTGATTGAAGCAATAGCAATAGTCGGTATCAGGTCGTGTAATGTGAGGATAACTATTCTTTTTGCGCGTTCAATAAAAGTGTAATATATGACATTTTGGAGTACTCTTCTATTCATTTAACGTGTCAGTGCTGGATATACTTACTGAATTTTCACTGGGGATTTCATTCGAATCACCTAATTCCACTTACGTATGTCTTCTATGAACATCCTGTTGTAGATAATGCTGACAATCTGGATGAAAGAAGCAAGTAAAATGAAGTGAGAACTTGAAACGAAATTCCCAGTGAAAATTGTGATCTTATGGATAACTATTACTTATTAACTGAATAAAAAGAGTGCTAAATTTTCCACAGATATTGAATTTTGAAAAGCTATTGCACTACAAAATCACGAACATGTATTTTATCTTTCACAAATACTGTCATTCGTGGTGGTGTTTCGTTCTCTGTGAGCTGGATGTTTTGGTTGTGGAGTTTTCATTGTTCTTTTAAGCAAAATCATCAGCACAAACTTCTTTTCTAATATTCATTAATGGCTGTACAATGCCGCTTCATATTTTAGTAACCGAATCATTGTTCATTATATGTCACTAGTATTTTCAACTAACACATATCACATGACACAAGGTAGTTATTCTATTGCTGTTTGCGCAACAGTTCATTACTCATAACTTACAAGATGTAATGTTTATATCCGAATAATATTTTATCACATAGTCAACATTCATGCTTAATCGGGTAATCAATATTACCGTGTGAATGATCCACATTTATTGAATACAAAAACAACTGGAATAGAGAAATTTTCGATTTTCAATGTTAGTTATTTTATTCATTCCATATGTTTAGCTGTTTATCCATCTATAATTAACGTTACAATTATTCAAAAATAAATAAACGGTCAAGTTTTCTAGCCGATTATCCGTTATCCACCTGTTGCATTCTGCATATGATTAAAAAAGTACATTGGTCGTTCAGTTAGTTACAACGTACAACTGCGTACATAAGTACATCAGTACAGGTTTTCATACCACATTAGTACAGAGACGCAATTGTCATTTCAAATCATATAGTGGTAGAGATGGTGGAAGCATTACTGGAAATGGAGAAGATTAGGGTTCGAAGGTATTATTCAAGATGTATAATTCAGTGAGATAAGTTTAGCAGGAGAAAAGTAGAGTTGATGAATTTAGAAGATTAGAATTTCATAGAACACAACGTGTGTATGCACCTGCGCCTTTGCGAACGATTTTGAGCCCCTAGCTTTCTTCCAGCCTACATTCTCCAACCTATTGTCCCATGGTAGCCACTGACCAATAATAGATTCATAAGCTGTTTGTTCCCTCAGAATCGCGAAGCTCATATACACTATTGTTTCAGAATCAGGGTTTTCGCTACCCACTACTGTTCGCGATCACTGCGTAGACTTCTTATCAACCTGTGCTTAGACTGACTCCGCTCTTCGTCATGTTCAGATCCAGGTGGGATAAGTCTCCGAGTTTCTATCAGTTCGGTTGGTGCTACTGAAATCCACGGCTTCTCCCTATCATTATGGTTTAAGTTGCTTGCAGAAATCACTGCTGTTTCCACAGCTTTCTGGATATCATTCCAAGCTGCCTCCGGATGGGAATCACTTACATGGCTGCCTAACTGTTTTTCTAGTTGCTCCTGAAATATATTCTTAGCTTTATTATCATTAGGTAGAAGTTTCCCTGTGGTGCCTTTCCTACATCCAGTAAGTCGCAAACAAACACGCATTCGCATTAGGGCATGATCTGAATGTAAACATGTGCCCCAGAACGGGTGACAGTCCACTATCGAACCTTTCCATCGGCGGCTGCTGGCAATGTGATCATCTAGTTGGATCCAACGTTGAGACGACTTTGGGGTCGCCAGGTCAAGAGATGTTTTTCCTTATGCTTAAAGTTAGTGTTTGCTAGAAATAGGCGGTTATCTGTGCATAGTTGCAGCAGACGGTCGGCGTTATCTGTTCTTTGAGCCACAACACCGTAAGATCCACCAAAGTGTCTTTCATTTTAACTTCACTTTTTGAAGATGGTTAGAGAGGTTTCTGTACAACTCATCTTTACCGTTGTCTGAACTGCAATCAGTTGGAGAGTAAGCAGAGACAACAAAGAGGCAACGGCGAGTGTCCCTATGTTTTCGAATCCTTGCTGTCCCATTTACCTGGACAGCGCATAAGCGACTTCCAACTGGGATTTAGTTAGTTGTAAATGAGTGGAAATTTCATTGGGTGACAAGTTTTGGTAACGCTTTATATTACGTAAGAATAATAAAGAATAGATCATTTTTAACTATAAATACGACTGTACGACGTCAGTAAATCATATTGTCAGGAAATATTTTTCCTTTCAAATAAGCCTCATTTGAATGTAGTATGTTTCTTGGTTAAAACCGAAATCTTACTATTTTAAACTGATCATCATGCTAGTCAGTTAAACTGGAGAATATGAAGCTTTTGATTCTACTTCAATGTATATGTGATATGTAACATAACATTATATAATAAACATTGTTAGCTTAAAAAATTAACATGAAAAAGATTATTAATACCATGTTTATGTGCACTCATATGTTTAAGATCGTTTATTTGTACTTGTCAAAGCACGTACAACATTAGAAAAGAGGTATGTGGTCGTTTTTCCAAATACATTTCAAACAACCTAAGACTTGAACATCTAATTACTTTAAACAGTACAATAACTTGACACATAATCCATAAAGATCATATCGTTCAAAATAATTAATATCATCAAAAACAACTTCACACTTCGTTAAAGCATTAGCTGTCAAAAATGTCAAACCAAATCTATGTGTTCAGGTAGAGACAGGTGCCAAATTATGAATATCTTGGTGAATCGATATTCTTTTATTCAGTTTCTCTCCAGCAGTCATTATTATTATTATTATTATTTGTAATGCGCCATCCGGCCTTCATTCAACTAGTTATTATTTTATTTACTGTAAAATTGTCTTTTTATTCCTTGAATTCATAAAAGTTTTATAAAGTTCTTAGGATTCTACATGATTATCGCTTCACTTCTTACATACTTTCTATATCTATCTTTAAGTGGCTTTCAGCAAGTAATTTAACATCATGTTACATAAATTGTTATTTCACAACAAGATATATCATTATACGAATAACGTTTGTAAGCAAATGGTTAAAAGTCACGAAATAATAATGAATTTATGGTAAAGGCATTATTGGTAAACAAGTATTATTTTGTAATTATTAATTACAGTCTGCTCTTTGAGCCTGTCAGTTGAATAACATATTAAAACTATCTTTTTGTTAAATCTTCTTATACAGTTTAGTAATCACCAGTTGTATTCATTATTTGTAATTATGCTTATCACGTCGCTGTGAACTGTTAATAGCTAAGATGGATATTGACTAGTATCTTTGCTTATAATGGTAATGGTTATAATATCTAGCAATCCATACAGGATACACCTATGCTAAATGGGACTGATCAATCAACATCAATGGGAAGATTCAAACTATCAATACATATGCATCAAAAGTTAGATTTAGTAACTGACTTATTGAATTAGATAGTTTACTAGAAACTTGAATTTTACTTATACTTTTTATATTACAGTTAACATAAACCACTGTATTTTAGGCTATGTAAGTCCATTGTATATTGAATTTCAAAAGTTTATTCCTACTAAATATCGAGTCTGTTTGTAATTAGATAGTTTATGTAAAATGTAAGTAGCACATAATCATTTACATCAATGAATAAAATTATTTTACTTCTCTATTACAAAAACTTATTCACTTTATATAAAATATAATTGAAATGCTGAAACCAATCCTGCACTCACAAATTAAGAGTAACGATTCAATTGAAGATTTAAATATTAATAATAATCATAAAACGATATTACATCGTTCGCCTTTTAACTCTTTGAAGATTTTAGCTCACATGAAACTAGTATCTAACTAATTAGCCGCACTTCAATAAGCCTAAATCAATTGCTTCAAATAAACAATGTAACAGTCGGTTGTGCTGTGAAATAAATTTTCTCGTAGTTATACTGGATTCAGTTTTTGGATTATGCTGTTTTTTTCTTTTTGGTGTGTTTTTTGACTAATTTTTAAATAATGAATATAAATTGAGTTGGAGGTACACATTCAACAGACAAGTCCCTAAATAGAATGAAATGCTCTTCCTGTATTCCGCATAATTCATTTTTGATTATATATTTCTTCGCTGCTTTTTTTTTCTATTTTCAAAATATGTACTACTTTAATTGGCATTATTTTTCTACAGATTTATATATATATATATATATATATATATATATATATATATTTTTTACGGTTCCTTTTTCGCCTTTAATTGATCGGTTGAATCAATTAATTTATTTTGCCGTGCATATTTTACGCCAGAGTAGAGATAATTTATTCATTCATCATCCGTTAAATAATTTTTTCAAATCAATTTTTTGTATTTAAATAATAAAAGTGGAAGTCATTTTGTGATTTTTAAACTTTTGCTGGTTCATTTGATTTATTGATTATTAAAGGTTTTCGTGTATCGTTCATGTGACCAAACTGTTTATAAACGGTTTGAATTTACTGCAACTAAATTTGAAACTCTCTCATGTTAATCCATTTGAATAGTTTAGCTACATGTGATTAAAACTAACACTGTTTGCTTCCTCCTACACGATGTACTAATCTCTGCTACACTCTAGCATATATACTGATTGATCATTGAATAGCAGTAGACAATGTCATATTGACCTAGGTTTTTAACGATTTTAATCTGTTACTCGAATTGCAATGTAGTTACTAGTCTAAATGATTCTTTATTAGGTGGAATATGTTTTGATATTGGATGGTTAGTATCAGTCAATTGACAATTGGCGTCTCATGCAAACTTCAGTTCACTTTCGATTGAAAACGTATCAGTGTAAACTAGTACAAAATGTCGATTCAAGGCTCCCTATCCATTGCCTCCGATCACAATGTCAAATATATATATATACCTAAATATACAATTGGATTAATTCTTAAGAGGGTATCCAAAAACAGTTGAGCCTCACTTTGAACCCACAGTAGTCACTATTTGCTTGAAAAAAATCGAGAAATTTTCACTAGTTGATAATGAATAAACTATTTTTACTGCTTACTATATTTAACTGATTAGATGAAAATGGATATCTTAAAATATTAAGTGAAATATATTAGAAAGAAAGGATTATCTATCACTATATCACTGAACATTCAATTCAACCGATATGATAAATATGAAGCTTTATTTAAGCAACAAAATGAATGAATAGAATAGAATGAAGCGCTGATAAAAGACTGCTTTCTTACTAAGTGTTATCTAACGAATATGAATTTAAAATTAATAATAACAGAGATTATTGGTTACACCTATATGTTTGGTGAGTATATTTGTTTCTCCCATCTTGTATACTGTTTTAACATCACCAACTTTTTTCAATATCAATTGATAAATTTTTAATTATTTTTTATGATTAGATAAGCACTCTTGTAAGTATGTGGTATGGTGAAACACAAAAGTATGTAGAAGCTACATTTAGTCTGGCTGAGAAAATACAACCAACTATTATTTTTATAGATGAACTAGGTAAGTTGAATAAATTAGCGCAGTCTATGTATATGTGTATTATAAAAGTGTACGCACTGTTTGATTTGCAAACTCAATGATAAAAGGAAAAAGGGCAGCTTAATTGGGATATTTTGTTTTTTTTCAACTGGAAAACAATGACTCTATCTTTTATATGTTAATCATCTGTTATATGACGCCTAATCAAAACTATTAAATTTATGTAATTATTATAGCTTGAGTTAGAGGTTCTGTACAGGTGTACAATAAACGTTTGTTGGAATCGTTATTATACGAATGGGTTCTATGACATACGTTTCTGTGTTAATGTTAAATACTCCAACATGAGATAAAAAAATGAACCTTCAAAGTAGATTTACATTTTGAACAGTAGTTGAAAATCGAGAACGAACAACTCTGTTAATACAAAAGCATTCAATAACCATAAAGTATATAGCAAAGTTAGCAAGCTAAAAGTGATTATAACCAGTCAAACAAAATCAAAGGTCCTTGAAGAAATATGAATTAGAAAAACGTCATGTTTGCTCACAGGATATATCAAGTGCTATTCAGTATAAGTATTTTAATTAGTATATTGGTGTAAAAAAGTATATGTCTCTACCAGATTTATGGTTTATTGAATTAATATCAAGATGAAAAAGTGTCTCTGAATAGTTGCCGTTTGTTAATCAATCAAATAATTGAGAATGTGGGGCCAATGATTTGTCTTATTTAAATTTTTTCGATAACAACTACGCTTGATGTAATGCAAAGTCAAAATTTGTTCGTTAAAAACTGCTTGTTAAGTCAGAACAGACAATTTCTTCGTTGAAATAGCAGATGGGTTGGTGGTGCACCAGTCATTCTAGATGTAATAGCTAACTTTTGTGTGTCGATGAGTTTTTCCGCTCATATGACGTATCTGATAGGAGATTAAAGTGATATCGTTGTATTTCTTAGAGCAACGGGCACATATCTTTTCCTATTACAAACTATGTCTAACAGATGTGCAATAATGTAGAGCAGAGTTTTTTCAACCCAAAATTCGACGCCCGTAGTTGGCTATTATTTGGTTAAGTTAGACTGAGTCACGATGGTAGGGTCAGATGATCTGGTCGGGTTAGCAGTCAGTCGTTGGATACTTTTGGTTGACATAAGTTAAAATCAGTCACTATGTCACAGATGTGTTCACTTTTTATCTTCCACGAAGTTTTAAACTTCAATATTCTTTCGTTTGTGGTAAATTTCATAAGTTATTTGATATTTTCTGCATATTATTAACTGAATCGTTTCCGTATTTTTCCCGTTTAGATTCTTTTTTAACTACACGTTCTCACTTGGATAACGAAGCTACGCGTATGATGAAAACTCAGTTTATGGCCTTATGGGATGGGTTATTGACAAATAGTAATACTCAAATAGTAATTGTAGGTGCAACAAACAGACCTGGAGATCTAGATCAAGCTATATTACGTCGTCTACCTTTGAAAGTAAATGATACATATTTAAATTTAATGTTATTTAATAAATTTTATGGAGTACAGTAATAAAGTGTATGTTGTCTACCAAACCGACTATAAGTAGCGATATTTTGTTGTTTGGGGATTTTTCAACTTTTGATAGTACTCATCTATCAGATCAAGCTACTTTTCAATTATTTACATACTTCACAGTTGATCTCATCAATAGTTCATTCTAGCCAATCAAACCTAAAAAGTCTTTTTTTCAGATAACACTACTTCAAATCAACCAATTGTATTAAATGGAAATGTTTAGTTCCATATTAAAAGTTCACGATTCAAGATGAAAATCACACCACTTAATTGAGTTTAACTACTTTTATAACTGTTCTTTTCCCTTTTATCTCAGATAAATGTTCCACTTCCTAATGTAAATCAAAGAAAACACATCTTAAAAGTGCTCCTTAAGGATGACCCAGTAGCTGAAGCTCTCACTGAGGATGATTTTACACAAATTGCTAATAAAACTGAAGGACTTTCTGGAAGTGATCTGTCTGAATTATGTCGTAAAGCAGCATTTGGATGTTTATGGTCTTTTCTTGAAGGCGATAATGTGTACGTTTTATTAAGGAATGTTTCTTAATAATTTTAAGGTTTTGTTTTATGAAACCGTTATCATCTCTAGTTTTTTGCAAAGCTACCTCACTATTCACTCCAAGTTATATTTCTTCGTTTGTCAAATAAATCCTTAATTGTTAGCAACCTACTAAAGTCACACAATCGTATTCATTGTTTCCACATAGTCAACCAATCTTATGCAACCTAACAAAGATGGATATTAATCCAAGTTTCCACACCACAATAGCACAGTCGAATGCGACTATCGAGCCGAATTTCAGAGTGATAAGAATAGTAACAGCTTACTTCCAACCTACTCCTACAATGGACGTCGCTCGTTGAGCTAGCGGTTGGTTAGACACAATTAATGCCCATAAAAATCACTTTGATTGATAAGGATTTACTACTTCACGAACTGGTTTGCCATCTTTGACTACTACCGTATGTCTAACCTCATCCTTCCTCATTCAGTGGTCTCAAAGCATACTATCAGTGCTTTTAAGGTGCTTATAATCGAATACTAGTAACCTATGAAGACCCCTCTTTCTTAATGGCCATGTTTTATACCATAAAACCGAAGCGAGTGAACTGTACGGTAAACTCATCCTTTTGTTGGTAGACGAACATCTCACTTATGCCAAAAGTGATGAAAGTTGGCTTTCTCAATCCTTCCCGTTAATTGTGGTAAGATAGTTTGAATTCATTTTATTTCATGGTTCCTCTTCAGTTACTCACAACCATATTTGTATTAGTGTAAGATTGGAGTATAGCAAAATATGACAATGAAAAACTTCCAGCCTTAATCCAGCACATACTACTACAGGACATTCTTCAAGCACTTAACATTATGCTTTTATCAACTTCGAAAGTCTCATTTGCTAAACTTTATGTCCTGTTTTATATTTCATATTATTTGAGTTTTCTCAGGCAGGATGATTTGCTGGTGACTGTAGACCACTTTACACAAGCTCTGCATAAATATATGATCGATAAAATTAAACTTGTGCCGTTGGATAACCTCTTTCCTCTCGACTGAATTTGTCAGCTATAATACAGTATAACTTACCGAATATTATTATTACTATAATTCACTCTGGTATATTATGAGAATATTTATTGTTTCAAAATCTCAAACCCCGGAAAATTTCGACATTTCCGCTTCTTTTGTATGTGTTTGGTTCTCTCTGTAACCGTTTGAATGTCATCCAGTGATTGACTGGATAAAGTTATTATTTTGCTTAAATTCTTTTTAATTTGTTGCTTGATCGAATACGTTCCTATGCATGTACAAAAATAAATTGTGAAAAGTAAAAATGACAAGTCACCAATTTTCGTATTCAAATATAGAAATTATTGATCACTTTTGAAGATGAATAAATTACTCGGAATATTTCTTTTTATAGTGTCATCACTTACACATCAAATCAACAACTATGATTGTAGTTAGTCCAATATATCTTTTTACAATTTAACACCACAGATCAGTAATTGACTTCATTATAGCTTTATTTCCTTTTCAATGAGCTGCAGTTAAGCATTAATATCTATTTTATCAAAACACAATCATTGGTACGAAGGGGGATCCAAATATTTATGCGCAACGCGAATTACTGAATTGGATACCACGTAGGTGCCAGGACGGAAGCGGGTAGTCTTCTTAGGGGACCACTCCCCGAGTCCTAGATCTACGGATCTAATCCACAAGGCGACGAAGCTACGTTAGGACATCCAGTCCCATAGTAACTTACCTACTTACGTTTGTCACCCGTAGTGAAGTATGGGCAGCCAACGAACATTCTCCAACCTATTGTCCCATGGTAGCCACTGACCAATAATAGATTCATAAGCTGTTTGTTCCCTCAGAATCGCGAAGCTCATATACACTATTGTTTCAGAATCAGGGTTTTCGCTACCCACTACTGTTCGCGATCACTGCGTAGACTTCTTATCAACCTGTGCTTAGACTGACTCCGCTCTTCGTCATGTTCAGATCCAGTTGGGATAAGTTTTCGAGCTTCTATCAGTTCGGTTGGTGCTACTGAAATCCACGGCTTCTCCCTACCATTATGGTTTAAGTTGCTAACAGAAATCACGGCTGTTTCCACAGCTTTCTGGATATCATTCCAAGCTGCCTCCGGATGGGAATCACTTACATGGCTGCCTAACTGTTTTTCTAGTTGCTCCTGAAATATATTCTTAGCTTTATTATCATTAGGTAGAAGTTTCCCTGTGGTGCCTTTCCTGCATCCAGTAAGTCGCAAACAAACACGCATTCGCATTAGGGCATGATCTGAAAGTAAACATGTGCCCCAGAACGAGCAACAGTCCACCATCGAACCTTTCCATCGGCGGCTGCTGGCAATGTGATCATCTAGTTGGATCCAACGTTGAGACGACTTTGGGGTCGCCAGGTCAAGAGATGTTTTTCCTTATGCTTAAAGTTAGTGTTTGCTAGAAATAGGCGGTTATCTGTGCATAGTTGTAGCAGACGGTCGCCGTTATCTGTTCTCTGAGCCACGACACCATTGTTGTACATTCAGTTATCGGAAGTTTTAATTTTCCTTTTACTTCAACTATGACTCCATATTTTGATTGTATTGTAGGTGCATATGATTATATCTTATGATAATTCAAATTAGATATTAAAGCCTCAAGGAGGATTCACAGAAAATAAGGACCTATAAAGTTTAATTCCTCAATTAGAGAAATCTATCTCAGCTTGAGTAAAAGGTCGACGGTGTTACAGATTTCATTATACATTGTTCATCAACAAACAAAGACAATAATTTTAGCCGTAAAAAATATCCGTCATTATAAGATATAAAGTATATGAAGCGTAAATTGACTTGATTGTCTATCTGGACAAGGTGAAACCAAATTAGTGGTTTTTCTCGGATCCTGTATGCGCGTTTTGGAGACGCAACACACATCGATGGCACGGGATTCCAGAGTCCTAGCTACTAAAGCCTGTTGCTCTATTTAACACAAGGTTCGAACAGCGATAGCTCCAATATGTAGTTTAGATCGGGGTTTTAGGACATCAGGAATAACGTTTCGTGAACTCAAAACGTTTTCTTCTATGGTGAAAGGCGACAAAGGAACGAAAGAAGAGTTGGTCGCGGGTACAACATCTTTATTAGGAGGTGTGGAAAGGATTTGGTTGTGACTAGTTTGGACTCGTGTAGTGTTATGGGTATGAAGGCGGCTGTCACTTCCCGGCTGCCCACGCCGTTGAACGGCTCTGGTTGTCAGAAAGGGCACCACCCTCGTGACTTCCGAAGGAACACGGTTTACACCATGAGACGTCATAACCCTTCTGAATGAAGACCTTCGAACTCCCAGGGCAGAGTTTAAATCGTTCCGATCATTTTTTTCTTGTCAGTGTCTTTTTGGCGAGTCAGTTTTCTATAGGATGCGGTCGCCAAGCCCAACCCTCCTTTATTTGAGCTTGGGACCGGCAGTAACCAATGAGGGGCTCTAGGCGGAGTTGTACCCAGCTTATTAATCTGCGTTTGTCACATGCAGAATCAATAAAGCTCTGACGTTAAAAAAAGAATTCTATGAATACGCCTAATCAACGAGGAACCACATCGTCAAAATAACTTGATCTGCTTATTGGAAACCAGTGAGTCTTACAGTATAATCAGTTGTAATATAACTATTATACTACTGAACAGTTACCTAAATGTGTAAGATGATCTCCGTTATGAAGCATCTACGACCAATATATGGTAGACTTTGGCAAGGTGCAAGAATCGGTCTTCATTAGTGATGTTTCCGAATTTCTCTCAAAAGTTCAAATAAAGTTAATAAACTGCAGCAGCTCTTTCAGCAAGATATTACATGGTATTTTATTTGAGTGGTCAGGTTAAATGATGGTTTTATTCTCATTAGTATTAGAAGCATACACAAGAAGTGGAATTACTTTATTCACTTCCATACATACTTTGAACAATAAAGTGAAGAACTCTAAATAAACAGGTTGAAAACCAGTTTACATGTGGTGCATTTAATTTGAAGCTGCATAGATTATTGAAGTGGTGTATGTAAGGAGAATGAAAACAACGAATAAACTAGTCTCCTACAGAAATCACTATTGACTTAGTAATTATTAAGAAGACATATGCATCCTATTTTTGGCCTGTTTTTTTTCACATACTTTAACTAGTAGGATAATTTGGATGATTTTACCACTGATCCTATTATATGAAATGTCTCGGTTCATATGTTCTGGCTAAATTTCGGTAAATCTTTGACTGATTTTAACAAGCAAATGGTAACTTTTACGAGTATAATGCTCCTAACAACGTACTACTTTACGGTCTAGTATTTCTTCACTCATGCTTCCAGATATATATGGAAGAGATAGAAGCTCTTGCATTGAATTGGAATCTATTTTTTACTACTAATTGATCTGCCAAACGATCACTTTAAATATTAATAGAGATAGTCCTTTCCCGCGAGCTTGTTGACGACATATGCACTGAAGAAAGCTAAGAATGAACAAGCTTTGAAACAATGATTTTATACCTTTCAACCACCGATTCGGAATTTTTATTTCCTTTTAAAAGAAATATATCTTTTAATACCACATTTGTTACGCGTATGAGAATATTTTAAGTCTGTATGTAATTATGTGGCAAGGCGGATAAGCAAATAATTAGGGAGGATTTTCGAGTTTCAGTATTTCAAGTTTTTGTTGGTTCAATGATTAAGCTTTCTTTTCTTCTGCACGAACGTTTTCGAAACTTCATCCAAGAAATTAAAACAAAGCAACCAAAGCCGACATACTAAAATCTTAATGATGTTTCACCGAACCAAAAGGTAATTGGGATCATTATCCAGCTAGTCTTTGCATTATAAGATATTAGTATACTTCAAACGTATTCTATTTTGATTTAACTATCTAAAAATTAGTCTTAAATGATTGATGTACCTACTTAACATATGGGGGACTGTCAATAAAGTTATGCTAGAAAACAGATGAAGTGTTAACCTAAGATTTTTTGCATTCAATAACCAGGTAAAATTAATTAATTTAACACAACTAACGGTTCGTACACCCTGTCTTAACCATCGTTTTACAGAAAGTGATTTCATTGGCTATACTGGGAAGATACTACACCTTAAATATAAGCTTATATAAATTACTAATCCAAAAATCTCCAACAGGTTTAGATAATTATTCGCGATGATAAAGCTAATACATTCATTCACGTTAGCACATCTGAAATTAAAAGAATAAGTCAGGCAGCTAGTTTTAGGAATTGCGTTGCTCTTATTCACATGGCAACTAGTAAGATACTGCATGAAAATAAAGACCAATTGCCAGCTGCGTTCTGTGACCCAATCTGTGGTTAGTTAAGTCTGTTACCGCGATCTTGCTGGTGTGGGAGCAAGTTTTGAACTCTAATTAAGAGGTTCCAAAATAAAATAACATGCATCCAGTACATACAGTAATGTATGTGTGCATTATTAGTAGTGAGACTTCCGAAACGTTTGATGTGTGTTTGGAAACTGGTTATAATTCAAAAAAAGCCCTTTTAAGGAGACTTTAACTGCTTAGATGGCAACAGTTTATTACCAAATCGACTTCTTAGTGAGAAACCATAATTATCACTAATCTGTACTGTTAACAATGAGCGTACTTAATAGTACGTTTAATGAAAGTGTCATTCACAAGAATAAAACACTACGAACTTATATCCCCTCCGATTGAGAAGCAATGCAAGTACCATGTTTAAACGTTAAACCTTAATATCCCCAAAAACTACAGATACGACTGAGTGGTTACAGCAGTGAACCTAAAAATACATACAACTTCTGACCCCTCAGCATTTGGACATTTTGTTAGCAGTTCTAGTCTTCGCAACAAATGTGCCTCAAGGCGAATTCAAGAATTGGTATTTGGTTGCTGGTTATTTTCTTACTTGAGCGCACAAAATAAATATAACAGATAATCACCAGTTTACGTTACCACCAACTATTACATAGTTTTTGTTTATAAGACAAAATAAAAAAGCATCAGTGAAGATATTATATCAACAATGTAAATTAGAGGTGATACCGACTTTATAAATACACAACTAAGATGTGAACCAATTAAATTATTTAAAAAATAACTAAAATACTGACAAGTAATAATCTTGTTCAAATAAAAACATTTTCTTATTTGAACTGAAGGTAGTAATAAACATTTGAATAACAAAAGGCAAAAGAAAATAGACTAGTAATGGCAAATACTTATGCATATAATCACAAGCTTTTACAAATCAGGAAATGCTGACTCAAAGGTGTGGTAGGTGAAATAGGAATGCAGTAGATTTGCACAAGAATGACAACTCTCAATTGATAAATATTTGACAACTTAGAGTCTATACGGAATACTTGGGAGGTGGATCTCCCGTAATTCTGACTGTATGTGGGTCCCCGACTATTAAGACAGGTTGAATTAATCGATCGCCAACAGAAATCGGAGCAGAAGCAACAGATCTAGAAAGGTGGTACCGCATTCTAGAATGTCGAGATGTGCTGGTAGTCCTAAGAATATTGGACTGATGTGATGTGTTCCGATGTAAAAGTCGTGACAAACGTGAACGTATAGATGAGTGGAAACGTGGACGAGATATTCTAGCTGAACGCCTTCTATAGCGACGAGATGGATTCGACTGAAATGTCATACAGTGGTTTCGCTGAATGCGGGTGACAGGTGTACCCACACCAGATCTCCTTTGCGACTCATTGTAGCTAGGAGGGAAGGGAGGAAATATCATAGGTGGTTCTTCATGTGTGGGTGAAGGCATCACATAAACAATTGTAGTAGTAGATGAAAGTGGAAGTGAATTTGATGAAGAATCGGGGGTATTCGAAACATTTATAGGTACTTGGAGAGTTGTATACAGAAGACGCGGACGAGATTCATTTGGACGAGTAACACGAAATTCTTTAAGACGATGGAATATAGATCTACTTAAAGTTAGCGGTCGTTGGACAGAGGGTTGATCATTGCTAGAACAAGAAACTGAGGTCCGATCTTCAGTTTCTAGGCTCCCCGAATCTAAAAGGTTGGCAGCTGCACGAGCTGCAGATAAAGCTACTGTACCAGTACCTGCTTGTGTAAGGATTAATGAGTGACGACTCAACTCAGATAAAAAAGGAATTAATGTATGATGGATCTGTGGTTTACGAAGTGCTTCAGTGGTACTACTGATGGGATAACTTCGCGTAGGTATATCTGAATTGAGGGCTAATAGCACATCGCCAGTACCAACAAAATCATTTATTGCACCTGATCGGAGCACAGAAGCTGCTTGATTAGCTGTAGCAGTATTGAAAGATACTATGTTAGTACGTAATGAACGTGAATTTTGAGACTGTAAATTGACAGAATTTGAACAAACGCACCGACAACAGAGAATGGATGTCGCAAGACTGACTGATGCCTCCAGGATACCGACTATCAACAAAAGTAGATGCAAAATGACTTGGCATGTGCGCAAGTTGGTATCAGATGTTTCACGCAGGACATTTTTAAAGTTCGAAAGCTTTACTTGATCCACTTCAGACCAATCTGTAGTTCTGATTGTGAGTGCTGCCATGGAAGATTTCGGGTCCTGTCTCTGAAAGGAAGTTTTGTTTTCGCGGTAACTTGATGGAATTCTTAAGAGCTCACGTGAAAACCCTTTCCGTGTAATGGTACCGCTAAGAAAACCATCTTCTATTATCCCAGCCACAGAAACACAAATGAGAACACACGCAGACAAACTTATGATCATACACAGCACTAACAACCCTACCAAGGCACATATAGTGGGGCGACGAGCAGCAAGAAGACCATGAAATCCAGTGACCACCATTAGTATGCCAGCCCATAATCCTGTAGCCATCTTATATAAAAAGACCGCTTTGGTGAAAGCAACACTCGAAAGGACGATAGCTGCAAAACCACATAGCAACTGAATTATGCTTAGAATTATGAGATTTTCATTAGTTACTCGGTGACGCGGGAAAGAGAACAGGCGACATTTGCAAGGTCCGGTGAAAAGTAAACAGAGATACGCACCAGGTGAGCATAATGAAACAGTTGGAATCAAACAACTTGATTTGAAACAACAAATATCAATGCAGTGTGTTTTTGGTATAGCCGGGACACATAAGGTGCAAAAGCAACAACATGGACGAGAAACCCCCTCGTCTTGAGACGCATCTGACTGTACTTCAGGAATAGCAGACGGGCAAGTAGTCAGGAACTGGCTACTAAATAGTCGATCTGAATGACCATTATTAACATTCTCTAATGCATGATAATCAGCCATATTAGGACATGAGTGCACGAAAAGTGTGGAATCAGTCCCATGGACAAAATTTGAATGTAAACAAGTAGGAACGTAATTTCTTGAAATGCCTTCTATGTGAGTCTGTACGTTGCAACGGCTGGTTACTCCACATAATATCTGTTCTTGCACGTGATCAGATGGTTGAAATACAGCTTGAAAATTCGGAGTGAGAGACTTTCCACGAAATTCACAACTGTTGTTTAAAACACCCTGAGAAACAGTGCAAGCACACGAATCTACCATTTATCACTATATAGCTTCCTTATATCATGAGATTTGAGCTGCTTCCGAACAAGCTAATCGTAGGCGTGAAACACCGCGTAATACATTCCAAAAAGAAATGTAATATACCGCCGTAAATGAGCTGAAGAATTAAGAGCAATAATACTGCAAAAGTAATATTAGAAGAAGCAAATAGTTATTTAACTAATGCATATGGCTACAGAATGTAGAGGCAAAATATGGACCAAAAACGTAAATAGGTATACCTATCATAAAGGATTTTGATGCATATTAATAACTGTACAACAGCTTCTAACTCCCAGAATGTTTTTATTTAGTCTGTATTTTGACTAAAGGAAATGACTTCAGGACTCAATTTTCAACCACTGATTTTCAAGTAAGAACACAACTACGTTTACTTTCATTTGGGTAATCCAGTATTATCACTGGTAAGTACATAAAAAACATGAATACATACCCACATACTTCTTTATTAAGTTGGATCTAGTTAGTGGATTCGACTGCTAATTTTGCGTTGGTAACACAAATGACCAGCAGATTTCAAACTTTATATGGGTTTCGTGAAATTCCTTGAGCAGAGAACTGATATAAACTATTCTATGTATAATCCACTACAAATTAATGAGAATTAAGGAGATATAAAAAACTCATTAGCAGCTTTAATAGGTTGATGGTAAACGAAATCTTGGAGCACATGCGTAAGGCTAATTCGTTACTCATGGTTCTGCTTAATGCATGAGGCAAGAGATATAGCTGATGTGGTAACACTCAGTTTAGTCATACGAAGCAAAATACTAGGGTCGCCTGGCTACTTATACAGAAAACGTCATTAGATCTGGTTTTCATCTGAGAGAAACTCGATATGACTATAAAAACCTCACTCCACTTATACCAACTTGTTCATTTGTGATCGTGGCAATATGCTTATCTACCCATCACAGATCCTGGATAATGGACCAGTTTCTTCCACATTATTTTTAACTTTGAAACATCAGAGATAGCAGATAACATACTTAGGTTGTTACTGTATTACTACGTGACTAGTCAAAATAATAACAAAGTCTTATATTAAAAAGTTTGTTTAGGAAAATAACGTGGTCGTGAAGCATTATCAGTGACATGGTTACATGTGGTGACTTTTTCCACTGATATACTTTGGCAATTACTACCGGAGAAATTCGGAAACCGATAGGAGTGACCAGTATCACAGTTGTGAAAGTCACTGGATGTACATGCGTGTTGACTCGTGAATTGTAGGAACTCAGGAATAGTTTACGATTTATAGCTGAAGACTTAACAGGATATGGTTTTAAATTAGTCAGTGACTCGAATATACTTACCAACTACGTTCTTATAAGTCTTCAGCTTAGTGTCACCTTGTACTTTCTTATTTCAGTGATCCAGATGTTAATGTTCTTGCTGAAAACGGTCGAGGTGGTTAGTATCGCATATCGTGACGACTTATCTGAGCTACACTAAATGGAACACTTGTTTCTTTGAGTAAGGTCAGCTGGGTCGTTTCAGACAAAGAATCCTAGTGACCAAATGGTTCTATATCAGATTAATCAATCCAAAGAACTTAACATTGAAAGAATAAGTGTCCGAGTCTTCAACAAACTTGTTCAATGAAAGGTTAGGTACACAAAGAAGCATTCTACGGTCTGAAAATATATGACAGACAAATATCTGGTCTTCCAACCATAAATAACACAACAGAATCTGATTTCAGAAGTCATTCTTACTATACTTATACACAACCAATTGCTAAGCTACACATCAATACTATAAAAAATGAGCGAACGTTACCAAGTATCCTCAAATAACCTTCACATTCAAAAGTGTGGTGGCTCCAACGAACACGATCTGTGACCTAAAGACACTGCTCCAATATCTCAATGGTCGAGGCAACAGAAAAGTCCTCTTACAGTAGTTTTTGTACTTATAAGCTCTCTGAAAATCAATCCCAATTTCAAGGTTTTAGGCGCGCGCTTCGAAACTATCCTGGCCTTGTTTACAGGAAACAATCTAATTTTGGACAGCAGATTGGGATATTTAATCACTACTGAAGATATAAAAGTTGTCTCCATCCTGACAATCTGGATTCGAATTCGGACAAACGGAATCATTCCACTGCGCAGTTTGTCTAGCTATCTTGATAAACTGCCATCTTCCTTGTTGCTTCGGCAAAATTCACACATTCATTCGCTCGCAAACACAGAACTTGTGGACGAGTTTCTGGATCCAGGTGAAGTTGCTCACCAGGATGGCCAAAGGTAAATCTGAAATTCTGAAGTTCTTTCAGGTTCTATTCTTTCGTAGTTATATTTATTTACTACGAAATTCTTCCTTTCACGTATTTTTCTGTCTCAGTTATCTCGCTTATCATCCCTAAATCTCTCATGTTTCATGTTAAGTAATAAAGTTGATGCCACTACTCACACTATAACAGCTAGGAAAACCTGTAGATGTGTAAATCCCGGGGTAAATAGTGAGTCGAAAATCCCAGTCTTGAGTGAAAAAGTTGTGAAAATCTCAAACCGTCACTCGACAGTATTCCTCAGAGTAGTGTTTATATTTCGGCTCACTCGACCCAAACACTTGCACTAAGTCTCTGATAGAGATAGAAAGACGGAACTCTTCAGATTTCCACTCCTAAAAAGACCAGTAGTCAAAATAAGATTGAGAGAAAAATTCACCCTAAGGCTCAGCTTATTGTTCAGAAATCGCAAAAGGACAAATGTGTCACCTGTTTGACTCCGGTCGAAACCAGTGACTCTGGTTTTAAATGAAACTTCCGTGGTACCTAGGTCTATTGTTACTGAGAAATTACAGCACCTAGTACTATGTGTTCATGTTGAGTCACACCTGTCCTTGGTTCTGGTATATCCGTTTATGGTTCAGAGTAACTGATGCACTAGCAAAGCCGTAGGCCCCATCCAAAATCAGTTCGAATCTCCCAAAGCATAAACCTAAATCACCAAGCACTAAACCAGTGAAAGGGGCAACCGAAACACCTAAAACCCAAACCAACACACCGACACAACTCCCAGTTGTTGTTCACCCACCAGTACCTAATAACAGTACGAACAGTGGGTGGATGTGAAGAAGGGAAACGATAATACCTCAACTCATAAAAGGCTACCAATCAGGGATAGGAGCGATAGATTAAATTCACTTATTTTATATAATGTTCCGGTGTCGGAGGGTAGCTTACTAGGGTTGCCTTTGATAAAGAACAGTGGGATAAGTACTGCGCAGTGCTTGGAATGTGCAATACTCCGGCAAAAATATATCGCCTTTTCAAAGGCCAGAATGTCTTGAAAGGGAAACCCCCTCGAATGAAGGTAACACTAGACTGGGCACAACTTGACGAAGATTTCCCCCTCTCATCCCGGAGACTCAGTTAAATTGTCTTTCCCTATCCACATCAGGAAGGATAAACGGTGGTCAGTAAGATCAGCAGTCAGGATATCACAAAGCCCTCGAGAGCAGACCAGTATGGCAGTTCACGGTGTGCCGGGACTGGCTACGGGCAGCTTGAATCAAGCTCATGTGCATGATGCACAACAGTGGCGATGGTTATCACGTAGCTTGGGCCTTCACACCACGATGGCGATTTACATTTCTCTGCTGCCCTGCTCTTCACACCTCAAGTCCATTAGGTTACCACGTTTGGTAGCTGTAGAGTCCAGGATTCGGAAAGACCTAACTGAGGCGCCTTCGGCTTGGCACAGCTCCAAGGGTGACCTCTCTAGCCACACTTTCTGGTCCAAAAGCCGACCTAGATCTGTGAGACAACAGCATGGAGGCTAAAAAAATTCACGAGATTGACAGCTGACCTTTATCAACAGCTCCCGGCACAAGACAAGAAGATAATGGTCTCGCCGACTCAAAGCACTGCACAGGCGAGAAACCTGCTGAGGCCAGATTCCACAGAACCGGTCAGCTCGGTTTGAAAAACTTACTTCAAAATCTGACAACGGCTGTTGTTGCAAAGCTAAACCAGGTGATAAGACAAAGCACTAGGTGCTTCTATAGCAACGTGTTAGTGTTATTTCCACACACATATACGAAATATTCGGCTGTAGGGTTTTGCCTGCTTCCCTCCTGCACTAAGGCTTAGAAAGATAAACTAACTGAGGCAGTAATGAAACTTCCACTCCTTGGGTTTTATCACATACTCTTAACTGGAAATTTCAATACCACATCTCTCAATCTCAGAAAAAGGAGTACAACTCCCACTGGTTGGTTCCAAGGAGGACTGGATGCAGCCATTAGAAGCTGTGGGCTTACTGAGTGTGCAGGCAATGCTGCTAGATGTACTAAGAAGGAAAATTCCTCAAGCCTGGATCAGTTGTTGACAAATAATAAGCTCCTAGACGAAGATGTTCATGTCCATACACCATTATAAATTAGTGGCCATGGCAGAGTCTCGTTTAACGTGGACATAAACGAAACACTCAGGCTGGATGAAAACTAGCCTACCTTAGCTATACTAGGGCTAATTACACGCGCATGAGAGAGGAACTTCTACACGCCCCATGGACACGGGAATGGAGGAGGACGACAGTAGATGGTCACTGGCAAACAGTGAGAGACATCATCCACAAAGCTTTACTGGACAATGTGCCTTAATCACGCCACACATCCGGGGATAGAAGAATATGGGTTAGGCGCGGCACTGAACGCTCGCTACAGGCGAGGAGGGGAGCCTGGCACAAGTTGAAGGTCTCTTTGAAGGATTACGATCGTGGTTCCTACTTAACGTCTAGAAACAGATGCAGCGCCAAAGTTCAAAGTGAAGAATGAAGACGAGCTCACCAACACAGAGATGGCTAACATCTTCAACAAAAACATCAATGCTCAGTTAAAACAGGCATCCACACGTTTAGAGTGCTACGCAAACCTAATTCCAGCTAGCGGTTTATGGCTCCTGACTTAGGACTAAGGAGACTAAGATCCTTACGCCCAGGAAATCATTAGGGTGTGAAAGTATTCGCCCCATACTCTTGAAACGATGTGCAGAAGTCCTCTGTTCACCTATACGTGATCTGTTCAGGGATTCACTGGAGTCACACCAAATCCCAACTTAATGGAAACGAGCTACTCTCTCTCCAATCTTCAAAGGAGGAGATTAGAAGAGCCTAGCCTGTTACAGACCAGTCGCATTACTACCGGTACTTTCAAAGGTAACGGAAGGGTTGGTGAACTAACTGATGAGAGAGTAAATGGATTAGAATAAAATAGTTCATGAGGCTGAACACAGGTTTCGGAAAGGCAGGTCCTACGCGTTCAGTCTTCTCATAACCCCACACATGCCTAGTTGTGAAGCTTGCGGAAATGAGCTTCACTGACCCACTCCTATCTTGGCTCAGACACTACCTTCAGAATAGAAAGTTCCGTACCAAGGTAAATAGAGAGCATGTGAGTTGGCGAGTCTCAACATCAGGAGTTTCACAGGGAACCATCTTGGTTTCATTGCTCATGCCGATATTCATTAAAGACCCGTTAAACACAATTAGCTCAGCGGCATCGATCTAAGCAGACGATATAAATATCTGAAAGTCAATTAGAAGAGAAGAGGGTTCGACTGGGCTCCAAAAGAACCTTACATCTATTGAGCAATGGGCAAAAAAAATGGTTTAGAACTAAACCAGGTGGAATGTCGCATCACGTACATTCTGCCCCACATGACGCAAACGATTTACACCCCCGATGGAAGTCCATTCCCAAAGTACTCGTGAGAGCGCGATCTCGGCTTAATAAACATTAAAAGACTCCACGCCAATTCGAACTATATGTGTGGATGCGACTCAGCAGTAAATAGAAGAAAACTTGGTGCTATTACTGTTACGGTAGAAATGAAGACATTTCGCTGATCAAAACCTTTATATAAATATCATTAATTTCACTGTGTTTTTTGGGTATATTTGTTTTACTTAACTTATGAACTTGTTTGAATTATTATTTTCGGCCATTTTGGACTCCTGTTTATCTCGGTTGTTCGTTTGCAGTTTTTTGCTCCAAGAATCTATAAAATAGAAGGTAATTGTAATTATTATAATTATTGTTGTTAGAACGACATTGGTCGTCTATTTGTAATAAACCAAAGATATTTTGGTCGATTATTTGTAAATTGCGAATAAACTTTGGTATCTACTTTGGAGTTTGGTTCTGTTGTTAATTTGGGATCGTGAATTGCAAATAGATCGACAACTGTGCTTCTAAGGATCAAAGAGCAAAAAATTGGAAGTAACAAAAGTTCTTCTATTTTAATTTTGTCATACATTGGATTCTTTTGGACGTTTTGGGTCCAGAAGCTCTTCAAATTAAATTTTGGTCGTTGGAAACTTTCGGAAATTTGGGTCCAAAAGTTCTTCTAACTTTTAATTTGGTCGTTGGATACTTTGGACATTTCAATTTCGGTTCTTTGGTCATACTTTGGATACTTTTGGACATTTTTGTTATTATTGGTCGAATAAATTTGGATTAATTTCACATTTGCTTGGTAATCGATTTCGAACAAAAGCATACAATGGAAACTAGAAGCAAAAAGCTGAAGGAAAATTACGAAATGGATGGTAAAATTTCTAAAGCTGTTTGTGGTATGTCTGATTTTAATGATGATAAACTTGATGATATTAGTGTTAATAGTAAGTCTTCATCTCAGTTTAGTACTTCTAGATTGAAGTTAGATAAGGCATTAATTAAGAAGAAGAATTTGGAAAGGAGAATTGAGTTAGAAAAGCAGCTTAAAATGTTAGATCTTCAAGAGGAGGTTTATATGGCTGAATTAGAATGTAAGGTCATAGAAAACGATAACCA